AATGGATTCACCTTTCTGCCCTAGTGGTCGCATCTATGGAATACTGTGCAGCAGTAAATGAATGAGGTAGATCTCCACTGACTAATAGGAATTCCTCACTAGCTCACGTGGTCGAGTGCAAACAGCAAGCTTTGGAGTGATACATATGGAAATTCCTTTCCTCTGAACACTTGCAAAACCATACTACGTTTTCCAAGGGAATATCCGTAGGCATGTAAACATCCAGCAAAGAATCTGGAAGCATTCATATCAAGCCATTGACAGCAGTTAATTCTATAACATGGAGGGAAGACTAGGAGTGGACTCAAGATGTTTTCATTTTTCACAAGGGGAATGAGTATTGTTTGCATAAGTAAAAATAAGTAAAATTACTGACACCGCCTGACCCATGGTCTTCCCCATTGTTCTATTTCCTTCTCCCAATTGTCCAGGTTAAAATCTGGGGTCACCTTTGACTCCCCTCTTTCTGTCATGCCTGAACCTCCGCCATCAAAACATCAGGATATTCCATGAGCTTTCCCTTCAACATCCAACGATTTCTTGTCCTCACCACCACCTCTCATACTTTCTCACCTGTATAATTCTAAAGGCTTACCTGACCTTCCTATTTCCACACTGGCTTCCCTGTCTCTTCTCAACCCAGAAGCCAGAGTGGCCATGTGAAAACCCTGCCCCCCTTTCCTTTGCCCTTCAGATCCCACGTCTCACTATTTTGTCCCTCACTCACTCCTCACTCTGCCCCAGCCACAGGGATGTCTTGCTTGGCACTCAGCATACTTCTGCCCTAGGGCTTTTGCATGTACTATGCCCTCCACCCAGAACACTCTCCCCACTGATATACCCTTGGCTTACTCCTCAGCCTCCTTCAAGTTTTGGCTCAAACCTCTTTTCTGAGACATCTTCCCCAGCCACCCTATTTAAAATAGACCCTCTCCCCTGTACTCCCTCTATTTCCCTCCTTATCACTTTCTAATATACTAGAAACACTTTTATTTTTTATTCCCTCCCCAAGCACTAGAATCAAAACTCAACAAGAATCAGCTTTTATGTCTGTTTTGTCTGTCATTCTATCTCGAGCACCTGAAACAATGTTTGGCACGTAATGGACATCCAATAAATGTTTATTGAGTAAGTAAAGAATATTTACACAGTTAAGTAAAGAATATTTACACAGTAAAGAAATTTACACAGTTTCATGAATAACGCTATAAAAATGGCAAAAACTCCATATTGAGACACCATTGGTTGGCTTTTGAATTTTGAATAAATCACTTAGCCTCAATTGACTGAGCCACCCAGGTATCCCTGAGTGTGATTTTTTTTTTTTTTTGAGAGAGAGAGAGAGTGAGAAGGCACAAGTGAGCAAGGGGCAGAGGGGGGCAGTGCGGGGGAGGAAGGGAGGGAGAGAGAGAAAGAGAAGGTGGGAGGTGGGGCTCACCTGAAGTGGGGCTCGAACTCATGGAGCCATGAGATCATGACCTGAGCGGAAGTCTGATGCTTAACTGAGCCACCCAAGGGCCCCAAACTGAGTGTGATTCTAATTAAAGCTAGATGCCAACTTTTTAAAATTGTAGTAAAAACAACAAACCACATAAGATAAGAACTACCCCTTAACAAATTAAAAAAATTTTTAATGTTTATTTATCTTTGAGGGGGGTGGAAGAGGGGCAGAGAGAGAGGGAGACACAGAATCTGAAGCAGGCTCCAGGCTCCAAACCGTCAGCACAGAATCTGATGCGGGGCTCAAACCCACGTACTGTGAGATCACGACCTGAGCTGAAGTCAGACACTTAACCAACTGAGCCACCCAGGCGCCCCTTAACAAATTTTTAAGTGTACAGTACAGTATTGTTAACTATGTGCCCAATGCCATGCGGAAGATCTCTAGAACGTTTTCATCTCACATGACTGAAACTCTATACCCATTGAACAGCAACTCTCTATTTCCCCCTGGCGACTCCCCCCACGCTCCGGCCCAGCAACCACCATTTTACTGCCCCTGGCTCCTGACAACCACCATTTAGCAATCTGCTTCTATGAGTTTGACTACTCTAGATGGCCCGTATAAGTAGAATCATGCAATATCTGTCATCGTGTGACTGGCTTGTTTCACTTAGCATAATGTCCTCCAGGTTTATCCATCTTTTTAATGACTGAATACTATTCCATCGTGTGTACACCACATTTTCTTTCCGTTCATCTGTTGGTGGACATTTAGGTTGCTTCCACCTCTTGGCTCTTCTGAATGATGGCAAATGAACACAGGAGGCCAACATCTCTTTAAAATCCTGCTTTCAATTCTTTTGGGTAAGTACATAGAAGTGGAACTTCTGGATAACATGGCAGTTAGTTCTACTTTTAATTTTTTGCATATCCTCCACACTGTTCTCCACAGTAGTACCGTTTTACATTTCCACAGAGAGTGCACAGGTTCCTATATCTCTACATTCTTGCCAAAGAACCACTGTCCACAGCCCTCAGTTCAAAGCTGCGGGTCTTTTGTTCGGAAGCTTATAATATCATGTAAACTTCTGTCTGGCCTAAGGTAGTTGATAGTCATCTCGCTAAATGTCATTCCAAAAGGCATGGAGAGAAAAGAACCTCAGATGTTTAGATCTTAGGCAAATCACTGCCCTTCTCTCAGTCTGGCTTCCCCATCTATAAAATGGAGATAAGACTCTTCACAGCCTTGTCCCTAAGGACTAGGAACATAGTGGATGCCCAATACACAATGTGTCACTCTCATTTAATTTGAAGGATGCAAAAACGGTAGAGTCTGAGGCCCCTGCCCTTTACTGCATGAAGTCGATAGACCGACAATGGGCAACAAGTGAAAAAGGCTTTTCTTCCAAGCAGAAAGTCCGGGCCAAGGGGTGCAGACAGGGGTGGCCACACAGGGTTGGCATTGATGCCAGCATCTTAGAGGTTTCCTGTTGGACCTGGTGGTGAGCGGGATCCAGGAGGAAGGAGTGTCCTCCAACCGGTGTGGGGAGGGGAGATTTTCAGGGCAGGATCTATGCTACTGTGTAAGGGGGATATTTCAAGGCGGGATATATGCTACTGGGAGGGAGGGAGGGGTCAGGGTCAAAAGGGGACAGTGTGTGTGACTGCTGCCAGGTCAAAAGGTGACAGTGTGTGTGACTCTTGCCGGGTCAAAAGGTGACAGTGTGTGTGACTGCTGTCGAGTCAAAAGGTGACAGGGTGTGTGACTGCTGCCGGGTCAAAAGGTGACAGTGTGTGTGACTGCTGCTGGGAGAACTCTGTATCTGAAGCTGAAGGGAGCCACCAGGAGGCACCAGGGTTCGGGAGAAGAGCCTTCCTCCTCACCGCTGTGGGGAAGGTTGACTGCTGGGGACAGAGATCTCCATTTCCAATAAAGAAATCGGGCCGGTCTCATAGTAACAAGGAGGTCTCATAGTAACATCCCCCTGCTCCGGGGCTGCACGTCTTCCGGGTGCGGGTCTGTTCCCCAGGGGGGGCACTTCCAGGGAGGCAGTATGGTGGGGGTTAAGGTGTGAGGTGGGGGGCTAATCACTTGAAAACCTGAGGCAGGTAGGTCTCTGAGCTTCTGTGTCCTCTCGGTGCACAGGCGAGGTTCTCCAGGATGGAGCTGCAGAGTCCCAGCACCCTCTGCTCCCTGGGGCCCCAGCAATGCAATGCTGTGAAGGGTGGGGGGAGCTGCTGGTGGGAGGCAAGAAGTGGTGGGGGAGAGAAGCAGGGGAAGGGGTGGGAGAGACAGGAGTTCATCGGAGGCCCTCAGAGGCCCTGCATCAAAGGCCACCTGAGAGTCAGAAGGGACGAGGCCTGGACCTAAGCAGAATTGACTTGAAATGGACATTTTACATTTACCCTGAAAAGGAGGATCATTGATTCTTACCAGGTGCTTTCTACGTGCCAATTTCTTTATACATAACACACAATTCAATAGTCCAGCAAAATCCTTTTAAAGAGGAGTCTGCCAAATCAGGGCAGTTCAACTTCAGGAGTGTGGACGGAATGCCAGGTGCCCTATTTACCCAGTTTAGGTAGGGCTGGCTCACTTATGGTCCTCACAGTCACTGCCAGGGTGCTCCTGGACTGGAATCAGGATCCGGGCACCACCAAGCCCACGCTGGCTGTGCGACCTCTGGGTGAACCTTGCCCCGGGGTGAAGTAGTACAGCCCCTTCAGAGGGCAGCAAGGGGACACCTGGCCTGGCGCCCAGATGATGGGTGGGGTCATGACCATCAGGAAATATTTCTGGGTGCAGGGGATCAGGCAAAAAGAACCCAAAAGACAAGAATATATCTAGATTGGGGGAAAAGGATTTTCCCCCGAAGTTGAAAGAATGCCTGCTTCGTCTTGTCCCAAAGAGTGAGTCCTGTTTTTCTCTTTTCTTGATATTTTAACCCGAGCTTTCAAAGGTCTCTTCCTCAACCTTCTTATGCCCAGTCCCCAATTTCTTCCTCCCGTATTTAAAACATCATTCCCTGCCCCATCCTCTATGCCGGTTTCCTTCCTGCCTACATGTCTTCATCTTTTCCCTGAGATGAGGAGCCCCTAGTTCTCTGGAGCCTTTAAGGTGTCTTCTGTAAGCCTCAAGATGACACTTATAAGGTAGGTGTCATGGCCCCACTTGAGGGATGAGGAAACTGCTCTGGATCAGGTGAGTGGAACCGGTTTGAGAGCATCCCTTTAGCCCTCTGTGGGCTGTGTGGGGCACCTGGGGTGGCATAGGCATCCCCGCCACCCCTTCCCTGTCCCCGCGTGACCTCCACTTGAAAAGGAGCCACCTGGCAAGGTGAGAAGGTCAGCCTACCCCTTTTGGGTCTCCTTGAAACAATTCGTTACATTCTTTCTTCCACGGCCCGCGCTCTCATTGGCGCGCCACCGCGTTTCCCCATTGGCTGTGTCGCCGGAGGACACGCGGTGATTGGTCCCCAGCCTCGAGGCGCTAGGTCTGTCTCTGGCGAGGCAGGAGCCAGAGTCCCCAGTCTGGCTGGTACGCGAGGCCGGGGACAACTGTCCCGGCTGTCAGGGCTTCAGGCGACCTCCCGCATGTCCAGGGAGGGGGGACGTCGTGTGCACGGGCGCCCACCTCCCGCAGCGCGTGAGTATAGACCGAAGGCTGCTGTTACCGCACCCGCTCATCTTCACAAGGGCGCACTTGGCCGTGTGGGTGTTCGTGCACATGCGATTGATTCGTGCCCGTGTATCCAGGCAGGTGGGCGTTGAAGGCTGGGGCCAGACCTTCAGCGGGCGTTTGTGTAGGGCATCGCGACAAACTACATAGTTCTGAGACTGATTTTGGATTTTTCTTTTGCATGATCTGATAAGCGTAGGTAACCAAAGGCAGCCGGCTGGGAATTGCAGACCATTAGCCGCCTATGGTGTACTTTTGCCTAGGGTTTGCTGATGAGGGTCGCACTCTAACGTTTTGTGGAGTGATGTTAAAAACTGCGGAGAATTTCTCTGAATCTCAGAAGAGGGAGAGGTGTTTTTTTTTTTTTTTAATTAGTGTAGGGAGTTTTTAAAATGTCAGCTCCAAGTGTGTATTAAGTGGTGTTTTAATAGGAAAGTGTTAGTATTTAATAGGAAAGTCCATAAAGGTAACTTGAAAATATGCTTCGCTTTATAGATGAGTAATAGCAAAACTAATGCATGACAGTGTGAACCGTCAGAGTGACTTTCTAGAAGAGTGCATTGGGGAGGCTGGCTTCTGACTTTGTTAGACTGCAGGGTGGGGTGCTTGCTGGTCTGATGCACAGGTTTGAACACAGGTAAAAGCTTTTAAAAGGGAATGTATGTCAGAGTAATGGCCATTCTGAGATGCCTATTATCGTTGGTGCTGGTTTCCTGCAGAACGAATGGAGTTTTCACAGATAAATTGTCCCGCAAACCTTTGTCCACAGGGCTGCGGCGCCCAGAATTCCTCCAGATTCAGCTTCCTACCCCGTTGTGTACTCCACTCCCGCCTACACCGGTAGCTTGTGCTGGTTGCCTTTGCTCCGGGCAGTCACAGAATCGTGACAATGACCTTATGGAGGCAGCAAACTTTATACAGACTTTCTCCCTTCCGATATACAGACAGATTAAGACCTCAGGCTTCTTGGCTCATACAAAGTCACATAGGAGATGAACACAGAGCTGGAGTTGCAGCCTGGGTCTTGAGCCAGTATGTAATGCAGCCCACCTGTCCCAACACCAGTTGGTCCCCCTGGCTGGGTACCGTCGTCTCTTGGTGCACCAATATCCCACCCATGGTGGGTTCTTAGGACTAGTTTCCTTCCACCCACTAGCTCTGCCCTGAATTCCCAAGATCCTCGCACATTCTGGTCGCCCATACATTTACACTCCTCCAAACACAGCCAGTTTCCTGAGTCAGAAAAGGATATCCAGATTCCTGCCCCCGAGTAATCTCTCCCTCCCCTCCTCTCTGGTATGGCAACGAGCCTGCATCCCCGTCGAAGGTTTTATTTTTTTTTTTTAAAGCTTCTGAGATGGGTGCCTCTCACTGTGAATCAGGCCAAGAACTGAATTCCAGAGATCGTAATGCTTAGGCTCCAGAAAGGTCTTTTGGGTTTGGGTCGGACTAGCTACTATTCCCTGCCTCCAAGGTCTTTTCATAATCCCCTCCCGTCATTCTGACCTGCCGTGCGAAGGACACTTTAGACGCAGCTGCATGAATCCCGACCAAGGATCTTACTGATTTGTTGGCAAAACAAGATTAAGTTAGAAACCGGTGTGGACGGGGCTGGGCAACTTCTTAGAGGAATTGGGGCCTAAACTAGGAATCAAAGGACAGGTTGACCCTAGATAGGTAGAGACGGGGGGGTAGGGGACAGAGAGAAGGGTGGGGGACAGAGAGAGGGGGTGGCATCCCAGGGCAGACAGGCAGAGGCCACAGTATAGAGGGTGGTAGGCAGGAGAGCAAAGGTTTCTGTTATTGGTGCGAGGGCAGGGGAAATGGGAGAGTCTGCTATCAAAATGTAGATTTCCAGACCCCGGGGACAGAATCTCAGACTCTGCTGTCTACACTGTTCTAATTCCTTACACCCCTGGGGGCAGCCTCCTCAACACACGTGGCCCCTGCACAGGCCATTTAGGAGAAAAGGTTTGTTTTCGTTTCGTTCTGTTGTAAATGAAAGATCCCTGCTCAATCCCATTTTTACAGCTGGTGCCCCCTTTCCCAGCAGAAGAGCCAACCTGGGCAACCGGCGGAAGGAGGGTCTTGCCCTCCCCTCCCCTCCCCACCGAGACTGTGGCTTCTGTGGTACTCACCCCGTGAGCCATCCCTTGACACAGGCCACAGGTGTAGACAGGCCAGATCCACCTGCATCATCGCGACAAAAAACTCCATCTGAGCAAAACCCACCTCAGCCCCTGTTGGGTGCACAGCGCAAGTTAATGAGGATAATGTGCAACACGTGCCTTCTGGAGATCATACTAGATCATTCCTAGTGGAGAGCAGGATACGGCATTTAGGAGCAGCACGTTTAAAATTGCACAAGGTCTTTTCAAGCTTAATATCTGCTTGGCTGCTTGAGGGAAGGATCCTCTCCCATCATCGCTGGGTCCTGCCCCGCTCCTGCCTCAAGTGGGAAACTGTCTCAGCCTCCTGACGGGGCGGGGGGAGGGGTCCTGGCGAAGGTGGGGGGAGGTGGAGGCCCCAGCTCCGCAGGTGGGCGGGATGCTCTGGGACTGCCCCCCCCCCCCCCCCCCCCCCCCCCCCCCCCCCCGGTGGCATGCAGTGAAGTGGCCCAGGGGGTCTGTCCCCTGCGGGAGAGGCAGGGGGCCGCAACCCTTATCCTGTGACTAAGCCACACAGCCATCCAGGTATTTGGGTGGAGTGTGTTTGGGGAGAGAAGCCTGTGAGGAAATTATCAGCATTGGCCCCTCGAGAGCTCCAGATTTCCCATAAGCCCAGCAGCCTTCGGCATCAGTATTCAGAGACCGGTAAAGAATTCTAGATCCTGGGAGAAATGCCAGTGTTTAGTTTACTTCTGTTCACTGACCTAAATTACCTGGTTCATTCATTACCAGATTCATTCATTTCTCCTTAATTTAAGCAAATAAAGAAAACCTACGCTCTTAGGTTCAAAAGATTCTCATTTTTCCCCCGAGGCAATTCACAACATTCCTTGTTTCACTTTGCTCCCTATTAAAGATTTCTGTGTCTGGAAAGTGAGGCTATAGAGAGTTTTTAACCCAGCCATCAGGCTGGATGGGCCTGTGTGGATTCTGTGGCTGTCCTCTGCGCACTGAGGGTGGCATCCTGGGTAATAAATGTTACTGGAGCTTCACTTCACGGACAAAGTGGCCCCCACTTACCATCTTCCTGCCGTTGTTCTGAGAAGCAAAGAGAGGGAAAATAGACCCACTAGTGAAAATTACATTATTCGTAGGAGATTTGCTTTCTGATCTCAATGGCGTTTTAAAAATCCCACACTGCCCGATTGGGTTCACTGCCTCTGGCTGGTTGTCCCCTTAGAACTTAGTGGGGATGCTTTCTCGAGCCTCTTTCCCCAATAGTCCCTCTATGGAGGAGGCTTCGCTCCCAGCTGCCAGCTGCAGTGCTTAGAGATAGGTGTTGCTCTGTGAGCCCTAGTGATGGCTCAAACCATGAAGGTATCAGCACCACCCGGGAGCAGGCTGCCCACCAAAAGCCTGAGACCAGTAGATTCAGTATTTTCAAAGTGGGGCCTGGGCATGTGTATTTTCTACAGTCCCTCCAGGTGGTTGACATACATCATAACGGGCAGACCCCAGGCTGAGGTCATGCGATGTCCCTGGGCGGCAGGACTGAGCTCAGGGCAGCCTGGGACCCAGTGGAGAGCTCCCCTTAGAATTCACTCAAAACCCCAGACTGAGCACCTTCTGGGAGTACAGAGGTGAGGAAGATATGGCCCCTCTGTTCAAACTGCTGGCTGTGCTCTGGGTGGTGGGGTGGGCTCCTAAAGGAGGGATCCCTGGCTCAGGTGAGAGACCTCGGTCCCTGTCTTTTACTGAAACTGTTATGTATCCATCCCAGAATCGCCTCTCCGACGGGAGGGCTCCTGCTTTGTAAACTCAGATGTGACAACCTAATGATCATCCTCAGAACCCACGAGAAGCAGGCCAAGGCAGACCTGCTTCTGCTTCTCTTGTCATTATGTGACTCTTTGCTTTCACAGGTAGGAAAGTTGTACATACACCCATGTAAACACTACCCAGATCAAAGAGGGGTGCCTTCTCACAGTAGGAAAGACCTCAGAGGGTGGGGACACACACCTGTTCAGCTTTTCACAGACTGTAAGGAATGAGATCTCAGGGGGATGGCTTGCTCTCCTTGGCCACAGCCAGTCAATTGACAAGTGTCTGGTGAGTACCTGCAACGTTCTGGAAAATCCCTGGTGTAAAGCAGCAGTGCCCTTCAACTTTAAGCCAAATATGAGCAGCTTGTGGTTTTGGGAGTCTGGTTTAAATTCCAGACTTTTGTGTCCTCTATTCTTTGTCGTGTAGGTTATTGATTATATGCGTTGGTTTGGAACAGTCTGCCTTCCTCGTTCTTTAATATTGTACCTTTCTTATTTAGGGCAGAAAAAAAGGCATACTATTGCATAGCGGCTGATCATGGCGACCTCTGGAGAAGACAGTAACCCCAGTGGCGGAGCGACACCCTGGCCCCTGGTGCAGCTGCCGGAGCTCGAGCCGAGGGTGGCCCGCCGCCGCCTGTCCCAGGCCCGCCACCGAGCCACCCTGGTGGGGCTGTTCAGCAACCTCCGGAAAATGGTATACTCCCAGTCCGATCTCACAGCCTCAAAGGTACAGGGACCTCGGAGGTGTGGGAGGAAGTCTCCACGTGCGGAGGGACTATGGGGCGAGGTGGGGACCAGCCTGGAGCCCCCCAGCCCGGGAGGGGTCAGTGATCAGAGGTGGCCCCGAGAGGCCTGGTGAGCCGGCGCCTCCTATGCCTATCCCTCTGCTGCCAGAGGTCACCCCCGCACCCTGCATCTCCACCTCAAACAGACACGCACGCATGCACACGTGCGTGCGCACACACACACAGACACATGCACGTGCGCGTGACTTGGTTGTATGCACCAACCAGATCTTTTCCGCTAGGCAGCAGAGCCCTCTGGGTACGCATTTCTCTGTTCCTGCCCTTGATTTTGCCTTTCTCTCTATATGGCTTCTTTACTGGCTATGAGTGCCTCTGGTAGAGCATGGAGGAAGGTTCCAGGGTGGTTGGGGGGATGGTGCTAGAAGGGACGGAGCTCCTATTATTGGCGGAGCACTATAGGAGGTCTCCAGAAGGGGAGAGGGCCCTGAGATCGGCTCATTCCCGGCCCTCTTGGAACAGAGGAGGCGCGGGTGTCAGAAGGGACCTGTCAGCTAGTTGGAGGCAGGGCCAGGAGGAGGGTCTCAGCTCCCGGCTCCAGACCTGGTGCTCTTTCCAGAGACCAGCTGGTTGCCCTGTGCTGGTTTCCAGCTGGCACGGGGCCAGGGCCTCTGTGACCGTGTCCCGGTTGAGCGGTGCACCAAGCACCTTTGTGCAACCGAGTAGGGCCGAGAGGGATTGTAGCTGAAAGAATCCAGAGACCCCCCCCCCAACATCCACCCCCGCTCTTGTAGAAGGGTGTGGAGGGAGTCGGGGTCGGGGGCTGTTCCTCTCTCTGCTGAGCCAGACTCAGGGGCTCAGGGCCAGGTGCCCGGCCGGCAGAGCTCTGCACCGTGTCCCCTTGATGAATCCCCTGCTGCCTGTCCCCAGGGATGGGCAGAGAGCCCAAAGTCCCTGTCACCGGCCAGTGAAGAAGTGTGCACAGACAGGCAGCAGGACCAGAGAGAGAACAGGTGTTGAGGGCCCCCAAGTAAGGAACCGAAGTGAAATGTAGAAGGAAACTCGCTTGCGCCCCCTAAAGTCCGTACCTCACGATGCGGTGGCGGAGAGCCTGGCGGATTGGCCTGGGTCCCTGTGAGACAAGTTACTTTCCAGGCTCCCATCACCACGTCTCTTAAACAGGGACAGTAGTAACAGCTTCCTCAGAGGCCTGTCGTGGCATCTAACCCGATCGCTGCGCAGGAGGATGTGGCATTGTCATCATGGTTTAAGTGCTGGTCACTTCCCAGTGTATTACCTCGCTTATTCGCCACAATTCCGTTCAGATCTCCTCTTCTCTCTTCCTTATCCCGCTTGAGGGACAGCCCTGAATTTTGCCTTCGTCACATCCACGAAGAAAAGGTTCGTTCTACAGGAGTAATGGTGTGACAAGGTCAGATCAGTTCCCTAGGGCTGTCCTGACCAAATGCCAGGAACAGCGTGACTGGAAACAACAGAAATGTATTGTCCAGGAGTCCTAGAGACTCAGAGTCCAAAACCAAGGTGTCCGCTGGGCCGTGCTCCCTCTAAAGGCTCTCGGGGAGAAGCCGGCCTGCCTCCCAGCTTCAGGCGTTTGCTGGCGATTACTTGGCCTTCCTTGGCTTAGAGATGCCTCACTCTAGTCGTCTGGCCATCGTCTCGCTGTGTCTTCACCTCGTCCTCCCTCTTCTGCACGTCTGTCTCTGCGTCCAAATTTCCCTCATTTAATAAGGACACCAGCCATGTTGGATTAGGGCCCATGCTACTGACCCCACTTTAGTCTATGAAGGACCTGTTTCCAAACAGGGTCACATTCACAGGTTCTGGGAGTTAGACCTTCAACATATCTTTTTCAGAGGGATGTAATTCAACCCAGAACTAAGGTCCTAATTAGCCTGCCAAAAACATTCCAGAAGCAGAATTTCAATGAATTGCACCTGGCTTCCGTGGCTCTGTGCTAGCCAAGACTGCAAGTGAGCATGGAGTGTCACTGCCAAGTGACTCACTCGGGGCCAGGGGGCCAGACAGGCCTCACCTCATCCTGGTTAAGAACAAGCCTGAGGTGCTGGGAACCTGTTGGCTCTGGTGTCCGAAGAGGGAATGGAGTCCTCGCTGGCCCAATGGTACAGTCACAAGCAGTAGATCATCTGGGACCTCAGGTGTCCACATCAGTGCCCTGCTCTGAAGGGAATATTCAAGGGGCGCCTGGATGGCTCAGTTGGTTAAGCATCTGACTCCCGCTCAGGTCATGGTCTCGAGGTTCATGAGTTCAAGCCCCACATGGAACCCCACATCGGGCTCCATGCTGACAGCTTTGAGCCTGGAGCCTGCTTCGGATTCTGTTCTCCTCTCTCTGCCCCTCCGCCACTCACTCTCTGCCTCTCTCTTTTTCTCTCTCTCTCTCTCAAAAAATGAATAAACATTAAAAAAATTTTTTTAATAAAATAAAAGGAGTATTCGAGATCTCGCGATCAACGGCATTCTCATGTGGCGGTTTTGGGGGCCTCAGAGTGACGTGCTTGTCGCTCCCCTCACGCCCCCTTCCTGCACACCGCGCAGAATCGGCGGGATGCGGGACCGGCCGGGCTCTGTGCGCATGCCTGCTTTGGCTTCCTCCCGCACTGCCCGCCCCAGCCCTGGCCACGCCTGGGCTTCGTCTCTGTCCCCGCGCTGAGGTCAGCCTTTGAGACGCTGTGCACTCTCGGCCTGCTCGCTCCGCCATCCCGTCCTCAGTCATCTGGACGCCTCTTCGGTGCCCCTCCCACGCGTCTCCAAGGCCCTCTGCTTCTAGACCCTTTAGTGCCTACCGAATTCCAGCCTGTGTTACGAGTCCTTGTTTCCACGCTTGCCTTGTTCTTCCTGCTAGTAAGCAGGGGCCATCTGAGTGATTCTGCGTCCCCAGGGGCCAAGGGCACAGCTCTGCTGGTGGCCTGTGCCTGGTGAACGCGTGGAACTCTGAACGGCTGTTGGTGCTCAGCCCATAAACAGTATTTGGCGTTTCTTGTGTTTGAATCGTCTTGCAGTTACCGTTTGGCGTTAGGAATATTACACACAGGAGAGAAGGAAGGGAGAAGGAGGGGGGAATGCCTGTGATGGAGTCCTGCAGCAACAGGAGATTCAGAGTTCAAGGTGACCGAGCATTTGATATGTTTTTTGATCCACTAGACAGTATGCCTTTAGCAAGTAAGAACTATTTATTTCATATTAACCAGCCAGTTGCTCGTTGTGGTAACTGAGCAGAAGTTAGTGCCTGGGGCTGCCGTTGGGTCACTGTTCCCTCCACCTTCAAGGAGCATGTATAGTGGTTTGCCCTTTGGAAGTTTGCAGAACACACATCGTTTCTAAATATTTTAGCATTTCTGTGAGAACCATCTCCATTCTGGAGATGCTTCCGAACAAACTTCCCACCCTCTTTATTGACAATGCCAAGGAATGTGACATTGCATCTGAGGGAGCATGGCCTCAGCCTGGGGAACCGACTCCTGTGTCCACAAAGACGCAGTGGGGGGTGGAAGGCTGGCTTTTCAGCATCGTCTATCTCTGTCCCCAGTGGCAGGTCTTGAATAAGGCAAAGAATCGTATTCAGGAGCTGGAGCAAACCTTGGACAATCTTCTGAAGCTGAAAGGTAAAAGGTCCCCATTGGCCATCCACATCTCCTTTCTAGGGAAAGATGGGTTGCTCTTTCCAGTGAAAGCAGAGAAATTGGGTTAAGCCAAGTGAACAGATATTTACAGCATGCCGGCCATGTGCCCGGCACTGGGCTCGGGCCGGGGGTACAAGAAGATGCGTGCCCCTGCCTTCAGGGAGCTTACAGTCTGGCAGGACAGACAGAAGTCATCAGGTACCTGATCCCATCTTGAGAGACCGGGGAGGAAGCCGACCGTGACTTATCACACTCAAAATCCGAGCATGGCTCCCTTTCTTGGCACTCAGTTTGGGAACAGAGGCTGCCTAGGAACTGGGGTTTCATAAGCTGGTGGAAACTGAATTCTCAAAGGGATACTTTTGGTGTCTCGGCTGAGAAGGGCTGACTCGAAAAGCTTTTCCCCCTCACATCGAGAAGGAAAGGTGAAACTGGACCCTTGACTCCCTAACCCGAATCTGGGCGGGCTCAGGGACCATTTGTGGTCCACCTGGATCAGAAAGGCAAGAGAGACGCAACAGGGGCTAGACCTGCCAGATTGTGACCCCTGCCTTTACCTCCCCCTTAGAATCCTTCAAGCTGGAGGACGGGAATGCAAACAGCTTAGAGGAGGTCAAGGCAGAGTATGCCAGCATGTGCTCCGGAAATCACAGGTAAGACCCCCAAGCACCACCTTGCCGTCGTCAAGGAGGGACCATCTCAGTGAGGCAGACAACTACGTTGCCATTTCCTAAACGGTTAGCCGCTGATCCCAACCCCATCCATTTCCATGAGCCATCCTTTCTGTACCAAATTTAAGGTACACCTTGTACCCCTTACTGAAATCATATCAATACTTGTATCGTGTGCCCATGTGAGAATGGCTACATTTCTTTTTAAATCACAATAATTAGGATTTTTCTCTAGATATAGTATAGGCCTACAGTAATTAAAAGTGTGGCATCAGCTCAGGAATAGATTAATTATATTTTATGGTTATTGCATTTTAATTAATTAAACTAAGTGAAATTCAGTGTTTTCCTTCAAAATCATTTGTATTTCCTTTTCTGGGAACCTTTAGTGCCTATATTTTGCCCATTTTCCTGTTGGCTGGTGGTCTTTTTCTCACATAGGTATAGAAACCCTCTGTGTATACCAAGAAATTAGCTCTCTTTTAGGACATGACTTGGAAATAATCATCCTTTGGTCATTTATTATTTTGCTTTTGATGTTTTTGTTCTTTTTGTTTCTGCCATGCAAAAATGAAGTCTAACCTATCCATTTGTTACCATTATTCAAAAAGGCTTCCTATGCTCTGAAATTAAAAAAAAAAAAAAAAAAAGAGGGGCGCCTGCGTGGCTTAGTCGGTTAAGCGTCCAACTCTTGATTTCAGCTCAGGTCATGACCTCACAGTGCTGAGACTGAGCCCCATGTCAAGCTCCCCACTCAGCAAGGAATCCCTGGTTGGGATTCTCACTAACCCTCTTTCCTTGCCCCCCCCAAAATAAATAAACATAAAAAAATTTTTAATGTTTTGTTTATTTCTGAGAGGAGACAGCATGAGCAGCGGGGGTCAGAGAGAGAGGGAGACACAGAATCTAAAACAGGCTGCAGGCTCTGAGCTAGCTGTCAGCACAGAGCCCGACGTGGGTCTAGAACCCACGAACTGTGAGATCATGACCTGAGCTGAAGTTAGATGCTTAACTGACCAAGCCATCCTAAACAAACATTTTAAAAAATTAATGTTAAAAATAAAAGAATAGGGGCGCCTGGGTGGCTTAGTCGGTTAAGTGTCCGACTTTCGCTTAGGTCATGATCTCGCGGTTCGTGGGTTCGAGCCCCGCGTCGGGCTCTGTGCTGACTGCCAGCTCAGAGCCTGGAGCCTGTTTCAGTCTGTGACTCCCTCTCTCTCTGACCCTCCCCTGCTCACGCTGTCTCTCTCTCTCTCTCCTAGAAATAAATAAAAATTTTTAAAAAAAAATAAAAATAAAAATAAAAGAATATTCCCAGGTTTTCTTTCGGTGCACTTGCTTTTCAACTCAGCAAGATGCCTTGGAGATTACTCCTATCAGGATGAAGAGATTCTGGGTATAAATCCTGGTTTTCCCAAATTGTGTCACGCTGTTCTGCTCTCTTAAAATCGCCTTTAAAAATGTAGAATTTAACATTTTTGATAAAGTCTAACGTATCCATTTTTTTTTGTTTTGTGGTTGAGCTTTTGGTTTGAACTTAAGTATTTAGTGTTTTGGGGTGCCATTGTAAATGGCACTTCTTAAAATTTCATTTTCCCAGTTGTTCATCACTAGTCTATAGAAATACTATTGGTTTTCATATATTGACCTTGTATCCTGCAACCTTCCTAAACCCCCTTCTTTGTTCTAGTCACATATTTATAGCTTCTTTGGGATTTTCTACATAGATTATAGTGTCATCTGCAAACAAAATCAGTTTTACTTCTTCCTTTCCAATCTGTGTATCTTTTATTTCTTTTGTTCACCTTATCAGACTGACTAGAATCTCCAGTACAATTCTGGATAGAAGTGGTAAGAGCAAACATACCTGTCTTGTTCCTGATATTCACAGAGAAATACTCAGTCTTTTAAGTATGATGTCAGCCATAGGGTTTTTGTAGATGCCCTTTATCAGGTTGAGGAAGTTCCCTTCTCTTCCTAGTTTGCTGAGAGTTTTTGTCATGAATGGATGTTAAATTTTGCCAAGTGCTTTTCTGCCTCTTTTAGGGTGGTCATTTGGTTTTTCTTCTTTAGTCTGTTGTTATGGTGAGTTCCACTGATGGAATTTCATCAAAGTTTGAAGCAGCCATTTTGCATTCCTAGGATAAACCCTACTTGGTCATGATGTACATATACACACAAATACACACGTTCACATTAAAACTGTGTTCAGAATTTTCATGATTCGATGTTTGTGCATTAGTTTGTGGCTGTCTTGTTTTTGTTTTCTTTCCAGCCTGGTCTCAAATAAGATTCATCATAAAGGCTCTGCCATCTGGTGCCCAGTTGAGGCCGTTGGGAAGAATACTGACGGGGAGGAAGGGGAGGAAGAGGAGGAAGAAGAGGAGGAAGACCAAGAAGAGGAGGAAGAAGAGGAAGAGGAAGAAGTGGAAGAGAAAGAAGAGAAAAAAGTGGAGCTCTCACACTCCCAGGTCACCTGGCTGCCAGACCTCATGGATTTTGAACGGTGTGAATGGCTGGGAGGGTGGCTTCATGCACGGCCAGAGTTCCATGGGGAAGGGGACAGAGGCTCTGTTTGCAGCACGCTGCTTCCCCACTGCACTTCCAGACCAGGCCCCGAGTCAAGGAAGCTCCAGAATTTCCAAATATTAGGGGCTTGGGATGGGGTTGGAAGAAGGGCTAGAGAAATAATCTTGAAGCTACATTGCACAGCACATACACCAAGTTTACTTAGACTGGGTATTTATTTGGGGGTGACTTTTGTGGGGGCTATGATGGGGATTAGGAGGACCAACTAGCCCCATACCCCTCGCCCCCTGCCCCGCCACACATACACACACCAGCTGCATTACTGGTCTTATAGTAAGAAACAGAGTGCATGACCGGCTCAGACTCCAACAGCCATTCACTGCCCCTCCACAGACTCAAGACCCACGGCAGCCATGTTAGCTTCTGAAGGCCAGTAGAGGAGGCTCACTCCACAGGTGAGCCTTTCAGGCCCTTAAATCAAGCAAGCATCATATCATGGCTGCACATTCACGGGGCTTGGAATTATAAGCAGTTTTCCCATGGGCTGAGAGCTGAGCAGGAGTATGGGCTCCTTGTTCTCTCTTCTATTAGGCAGAGAGCTCCATGGGAACTCTGGGAAGACATGGGGGAAGGACCCTGGAGCACAGATCTGTATCATTCCATAGCCCCCAAGATGGCTGCCACTCTCCAAATGTCAGGGGCATGCTGACTAGAAAAGCTAAGCCCCTGCTAAACCACAGAGCTCTGGCAATGCTCGTGTGCTGTGGACCACCCCACTCACGGAAACCTAAGGAGACCATTTGGGGAGGGACCTTCAGCCTGTAGCTTCAGGTCTGGGAGATGACGCCATTTCTGTTCCAGGTATCTCAACTTTTACAAACAGACGATGGACCTTCTGATCGGGAACGGGATTGTCTCCTCACAGGAGGTGACACTCCCCATAGTCTCTGCAGCCATCTCCCACCTGTGGCAGAACCTCTCTGAGGAGAGGAAGGCCAGTCTCCTGCAGGCCTGGGCACAGAGGCACAGCGGCCTCCCGGGCCTTGCTGGTGCCTATGATGAGCCAGGCTGTGCCGAGGGCAGTGTGAAGGACAGTGGAGTTGACAGCCAGGGAGCCAGCTGCTCGCTCGTCTCTACCCCGGAGGAGGTGAGCAGACCATCTCTGGGGAGGGGGGGAAGGGGAGAGGAATGCAGGGAACGATTCTGTTGCCTTTGGCCTGGGGACACCAGAGATCTGCTTGGGGTCGTTCACCAGATGTGAGGTAGTGTTTGGGTTCTGACTCACGCCATGGGTGTCTGATTTTCCCGGCATAAGTGCTACCACCACAGAATGGCATTTCTTTTTCTCCTGCTTCCGGCCTTTCCACGGGGCCTACAGAAGAGAAGTCTTAAAAGGTTGTATTAGCTGGGATTGTTTTCACTGCAAGTTACTTGCTCATGAAACCATGAAGAGAAAGGTGCTTCTCATTTGCAGGGAGGTCCCAAGGTCAGGAGGGCTTCCTGTTAGTCTCAGTGATGCCACCATGGACTTGGTCCTTCCTGTCTCCCTGCTCTGCCTCACCCCAAGCCTGGCTTCTCACCTTGTTTCCCCTCCCCACCTTCCCCAGCCCATGTGACTGTGGAATGGCAGCTAGGAGCCATTGAGCTGTAGTCCCTCTTCTGCATCAGGTAAGAGACAGAAAGACTCCTGTGGCTCTTTCTTAATGGTCAAGGAAAAACTTTTCCAGAAATTTCTGCCATACCTCTCCTGCCCTTCCATTGACCAGAATTAACCAGACTGCCAGATTACTGAGCCAGTGACTGACGTCATCGAGAAAGTATTACGTTTGGGCCAGTTAGGCCCAATCCCTATGAGGAGGTCAGTTCCCACCTCTAGAGCATTGCCGCCATTCAATGAAAAGAGAGGAACGCACGTGGAGAAGCAACCACACCTTCACTATCAATGTGCCTCTCAAAGCGGGTGTGTCTGGGGACTTCAGTGGTCACTCCACGCTGAGATCAAAGTGGGCCCCCTCAGATGTGCTTCCAGAATTAGAACAGCCCCAGGAGGCTGCTGCTGCCTCTCACACCATCTGACCTGCTTCTCTAGCCTGAGGCAGGCAGTTCTGTGCTCTCCACAGCCTGTCCCTCGCTTTGCATGACACTGAGTAACCATGGCCTCCACCAGGTCAGCGGCACCCCTCGGCTTTGCCCTGACTTTCTAAGTGCCCCTCAGTGGGCCATCCCTTTGAGGAGATGTTCTGTGACTCTCTGGGGAGCCTCAGAGCCAGACAGCTTCCTAGTGCCGGAGACCCTGGGGATACAGCTCTGGAATGCTCCATCGTCCAGCAAGTTTCCCAGCCCTCAGGGCCCAGGGCCCGGAAGGCAACAGGATGTCAGCCACCGAGGAAACCTAACGAGCACGGTGGCTCGTCCAGGATGCCCAGCTCCTGCCTGAGAGGTTGTATCTCCTTCGCCACAGAACTTTTCAGACCTTTCTGCCTTTTGGTCACCTGCTTGTGGTCAGCCTTCCATGCTCTCCCCTGATCCTTCTCAAGTGGAGCCTGGTAAAAAGGCAGCTACCTGGCTGATACCTCAGACCCACTGACCCACTGAATCAGAGTCCCTGAGAGGGGTGGCTCAGAACTGGCTTTTTAAAAAAAATGTTTTTCAACATTTATTTATTTTATAGAAAGAGAGAGAGATAGAGAGAGAGAATGTGTGAGTGGGGCAGGGGCAGAGAGAGAGGGAGACACAGACTTGGAAGCAGGCTTCAGGCTCTGAGTTGTCAGCAGAGAGCCTGACACAGGCCTCAAACCCACGAACCATGAGATCATGACCTGAGCCGAAGTTGGACGCTTAACTAACTGAGCCACCCAGGCGCCCAAGAACCTGCATTTTTAACAAACACCCCAGGTGCCTGATGCCTGAGAGCACTTTTGTGTATCTCTCAGTGCAGATACACAGCAGTCAATCAGCTTCCACGTATGTCACCTCGCCTCCCCAAACTGGACTTCGGCTTCTCCTCTATTTGGCCATTCATGTTGGCTTCACCATGAGAGGACCGGAGTTCTCTCTGTAGTGGCCAAAGCAGGGCCAGAAAGTCAGCAGCTGAAGACCTCATACCCAAGGCATGTCAGCCAGCCTCGATGTCTTTGTAGCCCCGAATGGCCTGGCCCCGAAGTCTCACAAAAAGACGGCAAAAGGAAAATATATGCCAAACGTGCAGACAAGTGCGTCAGGCTATAAACCAATGTGTGAGTGCGTGTGTGTGCATTTGCAGAATGAACATTTCCTCAGGGGACAGCAGACCCAACCCAGACTCTAATGCCCCCAAATCATGGAAGCAGCTGATCTTTTCCAGAAAGGGCTAAGGGCTCACATTCCTCTGGCAGCAGCGTCCCTCAGGAGTGCCCAGATTAGGGCTCTGCCCCAGCGCCGTCCCCGGGCTTGGGCCAACCCAGGGCTGGGGGACCAGGTGAACAGAAGAGAGAACAGCTATACCCGGGGCACAGCCGGAGCCACGGTCACTCCTACTCTGGCTTCTAAATTAGTTGCCGTGAAATCTTTATAGATCTGGTCCATCTGGAGAGGTTCTGGGGCAGAACTATTGTGTTTGGGGCCAGCTCCTGGATGCAGAGTCAGGTGGACCTGGGAGGGTCTGAGAAGTAAGGCCCTGTACGTGTGCCGGGTGCTCTGGAAGAGCCACGGAGCCTGGCAGTGCCCCCTTGCCCCCCGCCAAGCTAGCTGTGAGAGCCATTCGCATAGCTGAGGACAGTGTGTGGCCCGGAACTTCACTGGGCTGATTGGTGGAAGGCCAGAATTTCGGGCCCAGGACCCTGCCTCACACTTGCTGGGGAAGAACCCAGAGTGGACAGGCTTCAGGGCTGGTCCTCTCAGTGACCTCTTCCCAGACCCTCTTGGAGATCAGCAAGGGGATATTTGAAAGAAGATCACCATAAAATGTCCAGAAGATCAGGAGAAGGGCCATCCGGGCCCCTGGGTGGCTCCATCAGTTCTGCTTCCGACTTCAGCTCAGGTCATGATCTCATGGCTCGTGAGTTTGAGCCCCACATCAGGCTCTGTGCTGACAGCTCAGAGCCTGGAGCCCGCTTCAGATTCTGTGTCTCCCCCTCTCTGCCCCTCTCCCGCTTGCCATTGGTTTCTCTCTCAAAAATAAACAAACATTTAAAAATTTAAAGAAACAGAAGAAGAAGGGCCATCCACATGGCCAGAGTCCCAAGGGATTCAGTTCGGGGGAAGCAATTTGTAAGAATATAAGAAAGACAGACACAAGACCTCCAGAGACAGAGCAGTGTGTCCCAGGTAAGGGGAGAGGGGAGACACTGTGGATCCTACCAGAACAAGCCAGAGAGCTCCCTCTCCTCTTCTCGGGCAGCTGCCCTCTAAATGGGGTGTCAGACACCATAAGGCATCCCTGGTGAAAATCTTAATATAAGACCATCCCACGCAATATCTGGGACATTCTTATGCTAAAAAAAATGACTCTTGATCTAAAATTCAAATTTAACTAAGCATCCTGCATTTTTATTTGCTAAATCTTGCATTCCTAAGTGTATGTATCACATTTCTGTGATGTATTTAATGGTCTTCAAGAAATTAGGGAGAAGCAGGACTGAAAACCATCTAAGTAACACGACTGCAGTCGGGGATCTGGGGTGTAACGCCTCGGGAAATGACCAGAGGGAAATAGGTCAATATGTCAACAATGGACCGCTCTGGGTGGGACTGCTTCTCACCGGTTTTCATTTTCCTCCTCAGTTTCTGTTTTCCAAAGTCTTGAGGAGCATGGGTTTCTTTTACAAAGCAGATTAATATCCAGTAATAGCTAACACACTGTGGGGGGGGGGGCACCCCCCTGGGGGTAGGCGCTGCTGTGATTCCCTTAACAGAAGAGGAGGATTCGAGAAAGGAGGTCACATGTCTGAGGTCCCAGGGCTTCGCAAGTGGCAGGACAGGGAGCCGGCTCTCCTGCGGCCACCCAGGAAGGTCACCAAGAGGCGACCCTGTGTTTGGGCCCCAGCTTTCACATACCCACACCCTTTGGGAGTGAGGGTTGAAGAGAGAGCCTTTCATTCCTCTCTGCCAGCGGCCCAGAGAGAGCACCCAACTAGTTATTTCTGACCCGCCACCTTCTGTGCCTTCCTTCAGATACTCTTTGAAGATGCCTTCGATGTGACAAGTTTCCTGGACAAAAGCGAGGCTCCGAGTACATCGAGCTCTAGGTGAGGAAGGGGGTATGAAATCGTGTGAGGGTGAGGGTGTGTGTCGGCGGAAGTTCTTCGAGATCCACTTCTGTCTGTGGTTGGGACCAGGCTTCTTCCACGTAGAAGGCGCGTCTCTCCTGGCCCAGGGCTGAGGCTCCGGGCTGTTCACACTGCACCGTCTTCCCAGGGTGAGGGGCCCGGGCAGGCCGCTGCAGGCGTCCCCTCTGAGAGGGGGGCAGGGACTCGGGGGCCCCACGAACCTGGGCCAGCGTGGAAACGGGCCTGAGCCCTGAGCCGCACAAGGGAGAAGTGGCTTTTCGCGGTGCTGCTGGGGATGGAGGTGTCAGACACAGAGGGGACGAGGGGACAGTTGACTCCATGAAGGGAGAAGACACAGACTCGGGTCTGGGGAGATTCCCCAACAAGCAGGGACATTTCCGCAAAGAGAGCTTGGTTGAGGACGGAACCTCCCTTGCTGCTTTGAAAAAGCTGAGGCCTGTCTTCTAACCTAGAGGCACGCGTACCTGTGCTCGCGTCATGGCTTAAAAAAAAATAAAAAAAAAAAAAGCCCCAATTATGTAGTTTTTCTACTTTGGGAGCGAGGTGACATTCCCGTCCTCATACCCTAATGAACACCCCCTCACTCCGCCCAGGCCATGTGGCCAGGCTGTCCTTGGTCACCTGACATCAACCCATGTTCCTCGGTCTGCCTGCTGCGCTCAGCCTCGACAGACTTGTCCCACTCTCCAAAGTGATCTGATGCGGTGACATAAGCCCTTCTCGGCTGTGTATGGGGGTTGGTTCTGCTGAAACGGGCTAGGGGCCAACGTCCCTGATTCTGAGCAGGGCCCGGGCTGCAGTTCATCAATCTGGAAGTTCATCAGTCTGGAACTCCTTACGCTGCTGCTGGGACATGAGAATGACCTATGAAAAATGTTTGCTCTCCCTGGAAAAGGCACAGATTGCTGCCAGAGGGTTCCTAGGCCGCTTGTGGGACCTCGTTCCCAAAGGAAGTGAGGTCAACCTGCACGACTTGCGGCCCTTTGAAGGCGCTGGGCTTCCCCCCTGGTCCCAGGAAGGCAATGGGAACGAGGCCGTGGGAAGGAGTCTGCAAAGCAGGCCTTCTCCCTGCATCAGGGCTGCGTTCTGTGTTAGACCCGCAGAGGGGAGGCATCTCAGGGGACTGAGCTCAACCGTGGCTGGTGTCCCCTGACCTCCCTCAGCTGCCACGGGGCACCAGGACCGTGGAGCACGGTGAGGGCGAGCCTGAGGGAGAGATACAGTTTAGCTCCTTCTTCCAGAGGCCACAGCTCAGAACACAAACAAAACTAGGGCACAAGAGCCAGTCTGCCCGTTGTCTTTCTTCTCCCACGGGCTCCACACAGGACATCGAAGCTGAGGCCACGCAGACCTCCAGGCTGTCTGCGAATTCGGCCGGGTGTTTCCAAGGGCGTGGTTCACACTGCAACCCACATATTTTAGGGGGAGAAGCAGAGGCCGAAGATTAGGATTCTAAATATTTGCTGTTTCTTCTTTCTTTTGTCAGCTCAGCGTTTGCCGGCAGCAATCCAGAAAACCCAGAGGAGAAGTTTCAGCTCTATATGCAGATCGTCGATTTTTTTAAAGGCCTGTGCTGTGTTAACACTGAGTTAAAACAGGTAGGACTGAGCAAAGCGCCGAGAGGCCTCTGCTCACCTCCAGCAGGATGCCGGAAAGGACACTCGAGAGGGCCCCTTAGCTGGACCTCACCCACGTCACGCCACACAGGGCCACTGGCATCCGATGTGCCTTCATTCTCCCCAGCCTGCTCCACGGATGGCCATGTGAGCCTGATGCACCTGGGGAATTGAAGACGTCCAGGGAAACTGAGGGAAAAGACTGGTGGATGTTCCCCGGGGCCGGCCTGACACGGGGACCTGACTCTTAGCAGGCATCTGTAAATGTTGTGTGACTGCTTGACACCTTTCTGAGGGGCTGAGCTGTTCTGTCTTCTTCTGAGCCCCTGTGCTAATGTTTGTGGTCACCTTTTTAAAAAAATATTTTTAAGGTTTTGTGTTTATTTCTGAGAGAGCATGAGCAGGGGAGGGTCAGAGAGAGAGGGAGACACAGAATTTGAAACAGGCTCCAGGCTCTGAGCTGTCAGCACAGAGCCCGACGCAGGGCTTGAACCCACAAACCATGAGATCGTGACCTGAGCTGAAGTCAGACGTTTAAACCGACTGAGCCACCCAGGTGCCCCGGTTGTTTTTGTTTTTGTTTTTGTTTTTTAAATGTTTTTTAGTGGTCAGCTTTTGAAGGGCATTAATTTCTGCTTCCCAAAAGCTGACCGGGTCTTTATGAGACGGTACATTCCAGAAACTTTCATGAGGGGAGGGGAGTGATGTGTGAGGCACCAAGGGCACAGGCCGCTTCAGATTCACAACCGAGGAACTTTCTCCGAATTTAGCAAAGATACGGCTGTTAGTTGGAAAAGGTAAGCCATAATAATGACAATGCTGGTCTAAAAATAACTAGGACAGCTTTTCAATAGGCTAAGAAAAATGACTGGGATCTTCCCACTGATCTTTTCTTCCCTCTGCCGAGGCCACTCTGAACCACTGGGGGCCCAGGGCCCCCCTCCGCTTGCTCTGCGCTTCCCATCAGCTCTCGGCCATCCGGCCCTTACCACCGTGTCGGCCTCCCCTCGGACACAGCGAAGTCAGCCCACTTTACCGAGGCCCTGGGAACAGATTAACAGGACAGTCTTGCTTTCCCTGCACATGGTAGAAAAGAAGGACCAAGCAGGATTAGAGTATCTGTACAAAGCAGAGAGAGGCCCGAACTTGAATCCTCTGGGGAGCTAATGGGAAATGCAGGCTCCTGGGGCCCCCCGCACCCGAGATTCTCGTTCCGTGTTGTGAGGCAGGGCCCCGGGAATCCGTATTCCGAACAAGCTGTCCAGGTGGCTCTGGGGCAGGAGGCCGCCAGCCTTCACTGTGCGCTGCTATAAAGGGGGAAGTCTCATTCTCTTCCCCATCCCCCTCCCCTGTCAGCTTGACAGGGTCCTTGAGGTCCTCAGATGAAACCTTAATTAGCACCTGTATGGTGTCCTAGGAAGGCTGTGTTAGCACCCAGCACCTGGACAGCGCCCAGGATGGGCTTCAAACAACAAAAGTGTCTTCTGTCACAGTTCTGGAGGCCAGGAGGCCAAATCAAGGCCAAATCTGGCCGGCAGCGGGAGAAGATGCAGGCCCGTGCTGCCTCAGAAGGTTCTGGGGAACAGTGTGGCCTTTGCCTAGCTTTGATGGCCCGCAGTCCTTAGCTTGCAGCTGAACCCCGCCAGTCACGGCCTCTGTGTTCACATGGCCTTCTCTCTTCTGTGTGTCTCCCAGTCCCTCACAGCTTCTTGTAAAGACAACAGTCATGTGGGTGGAGGGCGCCCCCCCCCCCAAACCCAGGATGAGCTCATCTTGCAATCCTTAACCAACTACACCTGTAAACACCCTAGTTCCAAATAGGGTCCCAGGTGGGCGTGAGCCGGGGTGGATAGGCTGTGATTCACCAGGCTTCAGCTCCCAAGACCAGCAGACACCTCTCACGTCGCGCTGCTTTCACAACTCTGCAGCTTAAAAATGCCTCGGACACCATTTTCAGGGGTTTAGGGGCCTGGACCGTTCTGAACAACACTCAAGCACTTGGTGTGACAGAGACGTGAGTGGGTGGCCCCTCCCAGGACGCTTGGCCTCCTGGCTCCATTCCGTCTTTTTCTCAAGCTGTGCTGTGGTCTTCAACCTGAACGAAGGGTCCACATGCCTTTCCTAGAGCCCAACTGGTCCTCTCTCGGGTACGCTGGCTCCCCACCATGCACCCTGCCCCCCGACCCCGGGAGAGCACAGTGAGCGAGGACATTCTCCAGAGCTGGAGACGCTTTGTCAGCGGAGTCTTCGCCCAACCCGGCCATCACCCTGGGGACCAGGTCCCACATTCGTGAGATGGTTGACTGGGCTTTCTGGGGCCCAAAGGGACCAGTCCCTGACCATCAGGGTAACAAACTACAGGGGTCACTTTCTGCTAAGGGGGTGAGAGACAGGAAGAGCAAAACCCAGGAGCACACTTTAAGGAGAAGAGATCATGGGGAGTCAGAGAGGTCAGGGGCGGGGTCATTATAAAGGGAAGGACCCTTTATAAAACCCCTGCTAAACAAACACAGCACTGCTTCTTAAAAAAATTATCTACGAGTTAACCCACATACACAGTTTAAAACTTGAAAGTTACCAAAAGATAGACAAAACGTAGTCTCTCTCCCACCAGCGTCCCTTGGCTGTGCCCCATTCTCTTCCCCAGAGGCAGTCACCTTACCAGTTTCTTGGTGCAGCCACCCAGAGGGACTCTACAGATAGTTATGTGCCCTTTCGAACACAAATGGTAGCCTACTCTGCACATTGCCTTGTACTTCACTTTTTTCCTTTTAAATAGCATCCCCCACAGAGAGAGAACGAGCTCGTTCCTTTAATTTCAAACAGCTGCATGGTATTCCCTTGGTGAGTGCACCTGGCGTAACTCCCCGTCCCCCATCGATGGGCATTTGGATAAAGTTTTGATGCCCTCGCTCTCTCTCCATCACCTATGGGATCCTGGAAACGCCCAGGATGGAAAGAAGGCAGGAAAACTTTCTGAAGAACATGGAGTGTGGGGTTGAGTGAAGTGGAAAAGGGACCTACCCCCCATCCTCCCTGTAGTGCTTACTTCCTGGCTGGAAGCTTGAGAAGACGTGGCCAGAGATGGGGTAGACTCTTGGGGAGCCGCGGGGGGTTCCTGTCTGCCTGGGGCCTGGATTCCTTCCATGGAAAGTGATCCTTTTCCACTCTGTGTGTTGCAGGAACCGGACCTTCCCATTGACGATGAGATGATCATGTTGAGATGCATGGAGACCTTCGATGATGACCTGTGACCCACAAGGGCTGGGCAGGGAGGGGGCGAGCCGGGGTGGGCAGCTGCCGAGTACGATGCCGGCAGCCAGGGCTGTACCTGCCTCAGCCTTCCAGGACGTTTTGGAGTGGCTGTCCCAGAGCATTTGGATGGTTTCAGTTGCTGACTGTTAATAAAGCATTTGTAAAGTAGTGCGGCCCCATGTCAGTCCCTCAGGGTTGTTGCTGGAAGTGGCTGGCGGGCTGAAAGGCACACCTGCTCCTACTGTGTTCCTCTTCACGGGGGGACTGAGGGGGGGGGGGCAGCCTGGCTGAAGCCCGGGCCACGGGCTTTCAAGAAAGGTGTCCCCAGAGGTGCCATGACACTAGGTACTTTCAGCACACCTTGGGGTCAGAACATGGTTCTGGTGGGATCTAGAGAGTTCTGGAGGCCACTCACTCATCCTGCATGCCTGCGGAGCCCAGGAATGGTGCTGACCCCTCCTGTGCTGTAGGACAGAACCAGCTTCATCCGCTGCTTCTGGGAATAAAGACTCCCAAATGGAGTTCAAGCCAGATCCCAGAGTGTTCTGAGAGCTTTCTGGTGAGGCTCCTGGACGTGTGTACTGGATGTGATAGTTGATTCTGTGTCAGCTTGACTGGGCCGCAGTACCCAGATACTCAGTTGAACATTATTCTAGATGTTTCTACAAATGTATTTTCAGATGGGATAGACATTTACAATAGAAGACTTAAAAAATTTTATTTTATTTATTTCTGAGAGAGAGAGAGCATGAACAGAGGAGGGTCAGAGAGAGAGGGAGATATAGAATCTGAAACAGGCTCCAGGCTCTGAGCTAGCTGTCAGCACAGAGCCTGACACGGGGCTTGAACCCATGAACCTTGAGATCATGACCTGAGCCGAAGTCAGACGATTAACCAACTGAGCCACCCAGGCACCCCGTACAATAGCAGACTTTGAGTAAATACAGAATAATTACCCTCCTTAATGTGGGTCGGGCTCATCTAATCAGTTGAAGGATCGACTAGCCCTAAAGACTGACCTCCCACGAGGAAGAGGGGACTCGCCAATGACTGCCTTCAGACACGGACACCCACTCTTCCCAGTCTGTCCACCTACTCTGCAGATTTGGGACATGCCTGCTTCCACAATCACGTGAGTCCATTCCTTAAAATCTCTATGCATATGTCTGCACGTGTATGTAGTATGTAGACATGCCTGTGTGGACAAGCGTGTACACATGTGCGTGCACACACGTCCTACATCCTATTGGCTCTGTTTCTCTGGAGACCCCTGGCCAATACACCCAGTGTGCAGAGAACGGGTTCCCTGCTTTTTGCAGGTTCCCATCATGACCACAGCGGCTGCCCTCCACTGACAGCCCCGCAAAGACTTCAGCGGCTCCATCTCCTCGTAAGAAACTGAGGCGCAGGTTAAGGTTAGGAGTCAAGCACAGTCCTGCCTGCTCTGAGCCCCAGTGCTGGCACCTCACCTCACATCCTGCCACGCACCCACCCCTAGGGACCCCCCCATGGGGGATACGCAAGGACTGTCGCTTCACTATTTAGAAACAACCAAAGTGAGGGGGCAGGCGGGGGCTCTCCTCTGGGGGGTTTGCTGAGCAGAAAGACGGAGCTCGGCACCAGTGCTCACAACCACCCCCAGCCACTCCAGCAGCCAAGAACAAGCCAGCGCACGGGAAGGAAGAAATCTCTACAGAGGTGCCTGCACATAGTAGGTCCTCAAGGAATGCATGCCTGACCAGCACTAACCAATCCGCACCCCACTCCTGTTTAGTCCTCATTCCTGGAGTATTATGTGCTGGGGGCGGGGGGCAGTCAGCGTGGACCTCAGGGGAACGCTGTGTCCCTTCTCCCCACAGCCATGTGCTAGAGGCTCCCCTGCCTTCACGCCTCAGCCCCAACGGCCGTCTGCTCCCCACCCCGCAGGGCTCATGAGACATGGTGCAGCCCAGGGTGGATATGTTGCTCTGGAATCCCCTCAGATGATACTTTTCCTCCCTCCCTCCCCACCTAGGACTCTTCCTCCCTCAGTCAGGTATCTGTATCTTGACTGATGATATCTTCCCGTATTAGCCAGTCCTGTATCTGTGAGAGAAACTGAACCAATAGCATATGGATAGGGACGGGTATAGGTGTGGGTACGGGCTTGGGGGTTTGATTTTAAGGAACTGCTTCGCATAATTGTGGAGACTGCAAATCTGAAATTTGCAGGGCAGCCCAGCCCGCTGGGAACTCGGGCGGGAGTTAGTGCTGCAGTCCTGAGGCCTCGTTAAAGAATGAAACGAGGAGGCCACCTCGTGGAGCGCGTTGTGACCCCTCGGCGGCCTACTGGACCGAAGCCCACGCTGGAGTCAGTGCGCTCGATGCCAAGAAAGTGAAATTCAGGAACAATCCATGACAAACAGCCTGAGCTGGATGCCAGCCGGAGCACCAGGAGTTCAGAGAAGGTGCTGGAAGAACAGAGGGTACTTCTCCCCTGTCCTGAAGAGCCAGCCCTGAGGGGCCGGTGCACGGAGGGAGAGGACTGGCGGGGTTCCAGCATCCTGCCTCTTTGAGGAGGAAGAGAACTGTCCCTGTCACCTTTCAGCAAACAGCCCCAACTCCGTCCCCTGCCTCACCCCAGGCCTTTCCCTCCCCACAAGTCAATAGGTTGCCAAGAGCACGTGCACGAAGAAAGTTTCTGTGTGGACACTGGGTTACGCTGGAGACTGGTTTTCTCTGGGAGGGTGTGGTGACTAAGTGACTGTGTCAAAGCCCACGCCTCATGGTCTTAATCTAATTTGGCTGCCACAGTGTGTGGGGTGCCCACCCGCCCTCGTATGAGGAGCCGAGCACCCGAGGTGGGGGGCGAGGAACCCCGGGGCGGCGGGGGGGGGGGGCGCGGGGGGCAGGCGTGAGGACAGCTCTTCTCATATCTTGGTTTCTTCGGTGCCCTCGGAGCACTCTCCCGAGGGATCCGGGGAGAAGCAGCTGAGCAGGCTCACTCCCTGCTCACCTTTCCCAGCTTCCCTCCTGGGCCAGAAGGGGAGACGCTGGGCACAGGGCGCCGTGCAGGACGTGTTGCCGATCCCACAGGGGAGGGAGTACACTTCCAAGGCCCTCGCAGTCTCCTCAGACTCCTCCTGGATTTGATTCCACACCAGGAGGCCTCTCTCCTCCAGGCTTCCTAATGGAAGACGGGCAAACAGTCAGGCCTGGGCACTGAGCCGCCCTTGGGCTGGGGGAGCCTCTGGCGCCCCCTGCAGGCACCCGGGAGGTCTCCTCGGCCAGGCCTCCACCTGTCAACAGCGTCCCCTCCCCCTCCGCCTCCACTTCCCCCTCCTCCTCCACTTCCTCCTCTTCCTTCCTCCTCCTCCGATGCCCCCTCTGCTGTCCCGTCTGGAGTCCCCGCTCAGAGCCGCCCCAGGGATTCCCTGAGCTCCCACTGCAGGGCTGACGTGCGGCAGAGCTAACTGAATGCTGCCCCTTCCTCACCTTCAAGGCATGGGTCTCTCCACCACTCTGTTTCTAGAATGCAGGCGCACCTTACACTTGGTGGAGTGAACCAATGTGGGAAACAGAGTGCCCCCAGGCGGGTGCGAGCCTAGGGGCCCTCTCAAGGGGCTGCGGGAGGTTCAAGAGGGGAGCACTGAGAGCCATCCGTGACGGCAGCCCTGCACTCCTCACAGCGACATCCTCAGCCCTCAGAGACTGAGTTTGCTCATCACCACACTGATTCCCCTCCATTCTCACTGTCTGTCTCTTGTCTTTCTCTCCTGCTGGCCTGTGGGTTTCTGGAAGGTGGAGGGCATGTCTCTCTGCTCTTTGTGGTCTCAGTACAGAGCACCTGGAACACAGTAAGTGTTCAATGGGGTTTCATTGAAGATGTGAATGAATGAATGAATGAATGAATGAATACATGTGTTCTCTCCCTCACCAACTAGACTCTGGGCTGTAACACAGCTGGGGCTGTGTCCTTTCTTTTTTGCATCTGGTGTATTTCTCACCTTAGGGCTCTGTTATAGCCGAACTGACCCCCCCTAGGGGTTGAAGCCCTAACCCACTACCTCAGCACGTGACTGTATTTGGAGACAGGACCTTTAAAAGGGTGACTCAGTTAAAGGCGAGGTCTTTAGGGTGGGCCCTAATCTAATCCGACTGGTGTCTTAACCTGAAGAGGTAAGGACGCACAGAGAGACAGCAGGGATGCACCCACATGGAGGAAGGGGCACGTGAGGTCGCGGCAAGAAGGCCGCCATCTCCAAGCCAAGGAGAGAGGCCGCAGGAGAAGCCCACTCTGCCACCTGGATCGCCTCTTCTACCCTCCACACCGTGAGGACGTGCGCTCTGGCTGTGTAAGCCGGTCCGTGCTGTTTGGTTAGGGCCGCCTTAGAAAGCTGACGCCGTCCCGCACGTCCCCGCCAGACCCGGGGCCTGCTCGCGGTACGCGTGGTCAGCCTCACATGGTAACGGGGGCGGCCCGAGTGCTGACCGCCTCCCCAGACTAGCTTACGGAGTGAAGGTGAGCCTTACCGGGGATGGTGTTGTCCAGGAGAAAGCCCAGGAATCCACCGACAAACATGCCCGTGGTCAACAGGACCTGGATGACTTGGTCCAGTTGGAGAATCCCTAGAATGGAGACAAAAGCAACCGGGGTCCCCAGGGGCCAAGGGCCTCTGCCCCTGGAGCGGTCACAGTCTCGGAGACAGAAAATCACCTGTCTGGAGCTTCTCAGAGTTGTTGTTCACCCAGTTGGGAATGGCGAGGCCACAGTAGATGGAGAAGCCAAAGATAAAGAGGTTCCTGGACGAGTTCATGTCCACGTACTGCAGGAGAGAAGCCCCCAGGGCAGCCCGAAGCCATCAGCACCCGCGCTGTACAGCGACCTAAGTCCCCTCCAATGCCCCCTCCCCTCCCGCTGCCACCAGAGATGGGGGAGGGAGGTTGGGCTCTGAGCGTCACACTCAGTAGGCAAGCCAGGCCGGGCTTCCCACTTGACCCTGGGAGCTGAGTGGTCCGGACACCCCAGGTCGGACTGATGCAGTTTCTGTTTTTCAGAAGCCCGGATGCATCCGGCTCTTTCTTTCTTCCGCCCGGAGGCCATCGTGGTCTCTGGGAACCAAGGATGCCTCCTCCTCCTCCCCTGGCCCAGCCCCATTCTCTTCATCCCCATTCTCATGGGCCTCTCTCAAGAGATACCCTGGCTGCTCGTGGAAGGGCGCCCTGCCTCACCTGCAGATTAGAAATCCCCACGGCGGCAATGACCCCGAACATCACCAGGAACATGCCTCCCATCACAGGGGTTGGAATGGTGGCAAAGGCAGCCCCGATCTTCCCAAATACACCCATCAGGAGCAGCACACAGCCGGCGGCGACCATCACCATCCTGCTCCCCACCTGCGGTGCTCAGGAGATGGGGGGGACGAGAGACTCAGCACCCGCCACGCCTCTGCCTTGCCTCGGGGGCACCCCAAACCACACTCCAGAGGACTTGTAGGAACAGAACCACATGAGCCCAGATGGCGCCCCTCTGCTCCCACATGGGGGCTGTGAAAGGATGAGGGGGTGACCTTGGGACACGGCCTCTGCCCTCATCTCTTCACTCACCACTCTATCCCCATCTTAAAGTCCTGACTCAAATGCTCCTTCTCTAAGAAGCCTTTCCAGTGAGGCCAAAGATCTCTCTTGGGAGGCAGTGGCATAACGCTTAAGAATGGGCGTTTGGAACTGGGGGGTGTTGTGCTACGTGAAATAAGGCAGGCAGAGAAAGACAGAGACCATATTCTTTCACTTTCATAGGTGGATCTTGAGAAACTTAACAGAAGACCATGGGGGAGGAGAAAGGGAAAAAAGTTACATCGAGGGAGGGAGGCAAACCACAAGAGACTCTCAAGTACTGAGAACAAACTGCAATTGATGGGAGGTGGGGGAGAAGGGAAAATGGGTGATGGGCATTGAAGAGGGCACATGTTGGAATGAACACTCGGTGTTAATTTGACAATAAATGAAGTAGAAAGAAAGAAAGAAAGAAAGAAAGAAAGAAAGAAAGAAAGAAAGAAAGAAAGAAAGAAGAATAGGAGGAGGAGGAGGAGGAGGCATTTGAGACCCAACCCCAGTTCTGCCTCCAAGTAGCTGTGTGACTTTGGGCACATTACTTAATCTCTCCAAATATCAGCCTCCAAATATGCCAAATGGAATTAATAATACTTACTTCGCAAACTCATTTTATAAGGCTAGCATTACTCTGATACCAAAACCAGATACAGACACTACAAGAAAGCGCAGACCAATGTCCCTGATGAATACAGATGTTAAAAGTCTCAATAAAATATTAGGAAACCAAATTCAACATCACATTAAAAAGATCATGCACCATGACCAACTGGGATCTATCCCTGGGATGCAAGGATGTTTTAACATATACAAGTGATAAATGTGATATACCACATAAATAAAATGAAAAATAAAAACCATATAATCATGTCAAAAGATGCAGAAAAAGCATTAGACAAAATACCACATATTTTCATGATAAAAACTCTCAATATATTGGGTATAGAAGAAACACACCTCAATACAATGAAGGTATGAATATATGACAGTAGACATGATATGATCTGATATACAGAAAATTCTAAATACTCAACCAAGAAAGAGTTAGACCTAATCAATGAATCAATAAAGTCACAGAATACAAAAATCAACATGCAGAAATCAGTTGCCTTTCTCTACAAACAACAAAATATCTGAAAAACAAATAAAGAAAGCAATTCACTCATAATAGCATCAAAAACAATAAACTACTTAAGAAGAATTTAACCAAGGAGGTGAAATATCTGTACACTACAAACTACAAGACACTGCTGAAAGAAATTGAAGACACAAACAAATGGAAAGATATCCTATGTTCATGGATAAGAAGAATTAATATTATTAAAATGTCCACACTGTAGCCACCTGTATAGTCAATGCATTGCCTAACAAAATTTCAATGGCATTTTTCACAGAAATAGGAAAAAAAATCCCAAAATTCATATATAAACACAAAAGACCTCGAATAGCCAAAGGAATCCCAAGAAAGAAGAATAAACTGATGGAATCACACTTCCTGATTTCAAATGATAGTACAAAGCTATAGTAATTTAAACAGTATGGTAGTGGCATAAAATCAGGCACAAAGATCAACAGAACAGAATTGAGAGCCCACAAATAAACCCATGAAAACATGGTCAACTAATATTTGACAATGAAGCCAAGAATATTCAATGGGAGAAAGGATAGTCTCGTCAATAAACAGGGTTGGGAAACCCAGAGAACCACATACAAGGAATGAAGTTGGACACTTACCTTGCACCATTCAAAAAAATTGCATGCAAAATGGATTAAAGACTTAAATGTAAGAGCTGAAACCATGAAACTCCTAGAAGAAAACATAGGGAAAATCCCCTAGAAATTGTTTTTTTCAATTTTTTTGGATATGATGCTAAAAGTATAATAAACAAAAGCAAAAAATAAACAAATGGGACTACACTAAACTATCGACAAAATAAAAAGGCAACCTCAGAATGGAATAAAATATTTGCAAACCATATATCTGACAAGGGGTTAATATCCAAAATACATAAGGAATTTATACAACTCAATACAACAACAACAATTTAAAAATGGGCAGAGGAACTGAATAGACATTTCTCCCAAGAAGACATACAAATGGCCAACAGGTACATGAAAAGATGTTCGACATCACTAACCACCAGGGAAATGTAATCAAAACCACAATGAGATATCCCCCCCCCCACATCTGTTAGATTCAGTTATCATAAAAAAGATAAGAACTAACAAGTGCTGGTGGAGATGTGCAGAAAAGGGATCCTATGTGTACCGTTTATGTAATGTTTATTGGAACATAAATTGGCACAGCCACTATGGAAAACAGTGTGGCTTTTCCTCATAAAGTTAAAAATAGAATTACCACATGATCCAGCAATTCCTCTTATGAGTATTTGTACAAAAAAGCCACCACACTAATTGGAAAAGATACCCACAACCTGTGTTCACCGCGGCATTATTTACAAGCCAAGATATGGAAACAACCTAAGTGTCCAATGATGAATGAATGGATAAAGACCATGTGGTATATATACACAATGGAATATTAACCAGCCATAACAAATGAAATCTTTCTATTTGTACAACATGGGTAGAACTTGAAGGCATTGTGCTAAGTGAACTATGTCAGAGAAAGACAAATATCGTATGGTATCCTTCATGTGGAATCTAGTAAAGCTAAATTCACAGAAATAGAAAGAAGTGTGGTGGTTACCAGGGTGGAGAAAATGGAGAGATGTTCGTCAAAGAGTACAAACTTCCAGTGAGAAGGTGATGAATAAGTTCTGGGGATCTAATGTACAATACTGTGATTATACTTAACAGCACCATATTATATATACTCTTGAAAGTTGCTAAGAGAGTAGATTTTTAAAAAAATTTTTTTTAATGTTTATTTTTGAGAGAGAGAGCATGAGCAGGGGAGGGGCAGAGAGAGGGAGACACAGAATCTGAAGCAGGCTCTGGGCTCTGAGCTATCATCACAGAACCCGACACGGGGCTCAAACCCACAGACTATGAGATCATGACCGGGGCTGAAGTCAGATGCTTAACCAACTGAGCCACCAAATGTTCTCACCATTCAAAAAGAAATGGTAAGAGGGGCACCTGGGTGGCTCAGTCAGTTAAGCATCTGACTTCGGCTCGGGTCATGATCTCGCAGTCTGTGAGTTCGAGCCCCACATCGGGCTCTGTGCTGACAGCTCAGAGCCTGGATCCTTGTTTGGAGACTGTGTCTCATTCTCTCTCTGCCCTCCCCCACTTGTGCTCTGTCTCTCAAAAATAAATAAATGTAAAAAATTTTTTTAAAAATAAAAAGAAAGAACCGGTAATGGTGTTACCTAATGGGAGTGTTAGCTAATGGTGGCCATCATGCTGCAATATGTTAGTGTATTTTCAAATAAACACATCGTACAGCTTAAACTTACACAGTGTTACCTGTAGAGTGTGTCTCAGTAAAGCTGGGGAGGGGGAGGGGGGAAGGGAACTCTGGAGCACAGTGAGACGCAGAGAGACACATGGGAGAAGAGATGAAGAACAAGGCAAGGGCTCCTCCATGAAGGGTGTCGAGGGCCATAGAGAGGAGCCAGCGTAAAATCCAAAGGCAAGGCATAAACAAAATGTGGTGTGTGTATGTGTGTGTGTGTGTGTGTGTGTGTGTGTGGAATGGAATATTATTGGACTGTCTGTGGACAGTCCTGGACATTCTGCTAAGTGAGATAAGCTAGTCACAAAAAGACAAATACTGTATGATTCCCCTTCTATGAGGTACCCAGCCTAGTCAAGTTCAAAGAGACAGAAAGTAGAAGGGTGGTCGACAGGTGCTGGGGAGAAAGGAGAATAAGGCCTCGTTTAATAGATCCAGATTTCAGTTTTTATGTTACGTGTCTTTAACCACTTTGTAAAGTATTTTTAAAAAGATACTCTAGTGTCAACTACTGAAGTCCATTAATGCCCCATAAGTGGCAGATTCCTTCTTTGTTTCTTTTTCTTTGCAGCCTAAGAGCTTATTTATTGAGCTGTCTGCATTAGAGGACACATGGGAAGAATTTAACCGCATCGAAATACACGTTTTGGGTTTGTTTATACTCCTCCTAAGGAACAACAAACAGAGGCTGGGATCGAAGCTAACGAGAACACACCCCCGGCCAGAGTTTTTATTTTGCCTCGCTGAGCCCCGTGTTGGACTCCTGAACTCCAGCTCGGAGAAAGAACGAATCTGGGTCGTTTGAAACCACTACGTTTGTGACGATTTGTAACAGCAGCCACAAGAGACTCAAGCACTGAGCACAGATTCGGGGGCCCCAGCCCGCCCCATAAGTCACCGTCAGCAGACTTACCCTGGTGATACCCAGCGCCCCGACATTCTCGCTGTAGGAGGTGGTCCCGTTGCCTGTCCCCCAGGCTCCTGCCAGCAGACAGCCAAGACCCTCGATGCCGATGCCTCGGTTGACCGCGTGCCTCGGAGGGGGTGGGGCCCCCACCAGCCGCGCGCAGGCGTAGTAATCGCCTACCGACTCCACCATTGAGGAGATGACCCCTGCAATGATCCCAAAGACCCCAGCCAGGCTGATGGTGGGGAGGCCCCACTGTCCTGAAAGAGCAACACCGAGGGAAGGTTAATCCAGAAGGCAGCAGGTTGCTGAAGCCCAAATAACTTCTTTGCGGGAGGGGTCTTTGGAAGGCTTTACATTTTTTTTAACGTTTATTTTTTGAAAGACAGAGAGAGACAGAATGTGAGCAGGGGAGGGGCAGAGAGAGAGGGAGACACAGAATCCAAAGCAGGTTCCAGGCTCTGAGCTGTCAGCACAGAACCCGAGGCGGGGCTCAAACCCATGAACGGGGAGATCATGACCTGAGCCACAGTTGGACATTTAACCAACTGAGGCACTGCAGGCGCCCCTGGAAAGGCTTTAAAGACCAGGTACTGTGTCTTCCAACCCCACGACTGTCAGAGGCTGTGGCTTGGACTCCTGCCTTACCATTCCTCCCTGAGGGGAAGTCACACACCCAGACCTTGAGGTCACGGTGCACATGTTCTAATTTAGCCCAGGGCTCCCTTGAGTAGGATCCAATTAATCCAGGAAGAGTCTCAAAGATCTAGCCAGAAGGCTGAAATTTCTCTGATCTGCCCATTCCCAGGCTGTGAGTTCTGGGTAACAAGGAGGAGGGGATGAGGGACGAAGACCATCTCAGAGGAAGGTCCTGGAATGGAAGCCTTTGGTCAAACACCTTCAGAGGATTCTTAGGGTCTCCTTCTCCTAGGGGTCTGATATAGACTCCCTCGAGCCTGCTGCTCGTCAGATCTTTTGGAGTAGATCCATCCTCTGCCCCTATTCAATGCTCCATCCAGTGCCCTGGACCCCATGGTCAGTCCTGGAAAACACCTGTCCCAGGCACAAAGGGGCCCTATCTTCTCATTACCTGGGTAAGGGAAGCGAAACCAAGGAGCCCGGCTCAGGACATTGCCTTTGGTGTCGGTGCGGGCCAGGTGCCCATAGGCCGTGGGGGCCGTGGGAAGAGTGTTGGTGACTGTGAGCACGAAGCAGAGAAGCCACGAGATGCAGAGCGCCAGCATCACCTGCCAGAGGGAGGGGCTTCACTACCCGGCCTGGACCTCCAGCCCCTGCCTACACCTCCCAGAGGTGCTGGGCCAGGGAGGGAGGTCAGGGAAGCTCTTTGAAATAAGGAAGTGCTGGGTTCCTGGCCCTTCCGGTGACAACACCAATCCACGTCATAATTAGCGCATTAAAAGATTGTAGAAAATAAACCATGGAGGGTTTGCATCAAAGAGAGGCAGAAATGTCTGGCAAAATAGGCACAGCCTGGATTGGAAGGATTACCATCTGTCTTCCTTTCCACTGTCTGCTGGTCACATGACCTTGGCTCAAACTCCCTGAGCCTCAGTTTCCTCATCTGTTCAATGGAATTACAACCACTGCTCTGCAGAGCCTGAAGCAAGATTTCGTAAAGATATATCTCCAGATACACCGATACTTAATCTCTGGTGGCAGAACCCCAGAAAAGTGTATTTTGAGCGATGTCCGCAAGTGATTCTTGGGCACGGTGAACTGTAGGAAAACCCACCTGCAGGGTGGTGAGCGAGGGACGAGATGTGGAAGTGTCTTTTCACGATGTGAGATGTAGTTCACGGTGCAATTAAACCTGCAGACATACTGTGTGGTCGGCAGCCACACAGACCTAACACCGATGCAAATCCACCAGCGGGGGGGGGGTCTGAGAATTGAGGCAGCAGCAGCACCACCAGGGATCTGGACTCCCCGCGAGCCACCGAGGAGGAAGTTGGTCTGAGCAATGTAGTCCTTACTTGTGTACAGTTAGGTATGAACCTTGCTAGGAGCAGAGCCCCAGGAACGTGAGACGGCTGTCCCACACTGGTGCCCAGAGGAGTGACCTGGGGCAGGGCTTCGTGGAATGACACAGGCCGCATTGCACCAGCAGCCACAGAGCATTCCCACGACAGTCGCCTCCTTCTACAGTGGATGAATGGAGCCCAGGGAGGAGAAGCCACCATACAAGGGAGAGCATTTGCTGTGGGGACCTTCTGAGAGGGCGAGGGCATGCCCCCCACCCTCTGGGTGAGTCCACTAAGAACACAAGAGGGTGGGGAGCGCTTCTTACCGGGAAGACCTGAAACAGGTAGAACTTAGACGTGTGACACTTCTTCTCTCCTCCATAAACGGGCAGGGGCATGGCAACATTTTTCAGGTACTGAGAAAATAGCACGATGAGGAAGATGGTCCTGAAACAGAAACAAGCCACGCCCAGCCTGGCAAGCTTGTCCTGAGCATGCGTCCAGGAGGCTGAGCCACCACTGTCTGGGACGGGGAGGCAGTGGCTGCTGCGAAGGTCCCCATCGAGGCCCCTCTCGGTGATGCAGTCAGTGTCCTACTGCTTTTCATGTCTGAAAAGGTGGACTGTTCCCTTTCAGAGCTGCTGGTGGCTGGGGGGGGGAGGGCGGGAAGGGGGGCTATTACTCCCTGGGGTTGGGCGGCCGGATGGATCCAGGGGTTGGAGCCGGTGAGGCGAGGGTCCACGACTGTCTTCTCTCCCGGGTCATTCTGCAAATCCTTTCGGTCAGACTGCAGCGGCCATCCCCAAGTGCCTTCAAAGCTCTGTCACGATGCTCAAGGCCTCTTTTTCCATAAAGCTTTCCTGACCCCCCCAGTTAGCTACCATCACCCCCTCCCCTGAACGTGCTCGACATTCTACGATTCTCATCATCTCCTGATGTCACAGCTATTTGGATCCAAGGCTTATCTCTCTCCTATGCTATAAAGATTACTGGGAACCTGAGCCACGTCTTTGCACCCTTCCCAGGCGCCAGAGAGTGACAGCCATTTGCTCCATGAAAACCTAGCAGGCAGAGGACCAGCAGCACCCGTTTCTTTGTGAACACTAAGTGTTCTTCTGTACTTCTTGAGATTACTTCATTGTTTTTGAGCACTAAAAATGTAACAAATAGTAGTAATAACGAATTCTAGCAATTTCACTGCTTTTTAAAGTATCATAGTGTTCATGAAAGTATCTATAACCCACAAGAGTTTGCCAGTATCCAGAACACATTATTCTTACTGGGTAGTCTTCCACCAGAAAGAACTTAGATGCCACTCCAATCCCAGAGAGTACTTACACGGCAGCAATCCCCCAGTGGATGCCGGCGTTGTTACCCGCAGACTCAAAGAGAGGCAAGGCCACCAGGGAGATGGTCGGAGCAATGGTCAAGGGGCCAATGAAGCGCATGAGAAACCCAATGAGGCCTGAGAATCCCACCAGGATCTGGACACAGGAAGCGACCATGATGGCGCCCTGCAGCTGAGGAGGGAAAGTATAGCTCATGTGCTTTGCAACTTCCGGAAGCCAGGGGCCACCATGGGAGACCCAGCTGTGGCAACCCCCTCCTTAACCTTCCCCCCCCCCCCGGGTGGCACACACAGAGGCAGGGCAGCGACAGAGCTGAACCCCAGAGGAACCGAGGCAAGGAGGGCCCTGATCTCGCTCCTCTCTCCACTTCTGCATTTCCAACCACCCGTTGAAGATCTTTACTTCATATAAAGGTTTTCAGCAAATAGCCTTCAAAAGTACTTATGGGTCATCGTGAGGATGAGGATGACTTGCAATCCTAACATCACCCCGTAGTGCGTCGAACATCATGTTGCTTTATTTTTCTGTTTTCCACTTTCTATTGCAAGTGTTGGCAATTTTTTTTTTCTATAGAGGACCTGCTAGTGAATATTTAGGCCATGATTGGCCACATGGGCTCTGTCGAAACTTTTCCAGACAAGATGTGAACAAATGAGCCTCGCTGTGTTCCGATACAATTTCATGTGTAGATACTGAGATTAGAATTTCATATAATTTTGACACATCATAAAATAATATTCTTCTTTTTCAATCATTTAAAATATAAGACCGTTCTCAGTGTGTGAGCTATATAAAAACAAGGAGCAGTCCAGATTTGGTTCATGGGCTGAAGTTTGCCAACCCCTACTTTATTGGACTGATTGAATTTACTTTACTTCTCTTTTTTTACTTTTCCAGTTTGGATGTCCTACATTCCATTTGAGCCCTGATAACTCTGCTTGTTTTGAAGTATGCTCTTTCTGAAAGTAATAGAATGACTCCTACTTTCTTTTGACTAGCGTTGGCATGGTATATTTTTCTCCATCCATTTACTTTCAGTCTCTGTGTATCTTTATATTTACAGTAGGTTTCTTACAGACAACATTTAGTTAGGTCATATTTTTAAAATGTTTTTATTTACTTTTGAGAGAGAGAGAGAGAGAGAGAGAATGAGCAGGGGAGGAGAGGCAGAGAGAGAGAGAGAGTGGGAGACACAGAATCTGAAGCAGGCTCCAGACTCTGAGCTGTCAGCACAGACAGAGCCTGATGTGGGGCTCGAACTCAGGAGCTGTGAGATCATGACCTGAGCCAAAGTCAGACACTCAACTGACAGAGCCACCCAGGTGTCCCTATTTAAGTCACGTTTTTTAAATCCACTCTGACAATCTCTGTCATTTAATTGGTACATTTAATCCACTGATATTCAAAGTGATTACTAATGTAGTTGGGTTAGTATCTACCACATTCATTACTGTTTTCTATTTGTTGCCCTTCTTTGTTCCTATTTTCGTCTTCTACTCTTTGTCTGTCTCTGTGTGTGTTTTAGTTTTTTTTTAAGTTTATTTATTTTATTTTGAGACAGAGAGAGAGAGAGAGAATGAGTGGGAGAGGAGCAGAGAGAGAAAGGGGGAGACAAAATCCCAAGCAGCCTCCACACTGTCGGCACAGAGTCCAACAGAGCTCTCAAACTCACAAACCATGACATGATGACCTGAGCTGAGATCAAGACTCGGACACTTAACCAGCTGAGCCACCCAGATGCCCCTCTTTTTGTGGTTTTAAGGGGCATTTTCTATGACTCCATTTTTCCTCCTTTCTTAGCCTATCAATTATACTTCTTTCTTTCTGTCTTTTTAAAAAACTTTTGAATGATTTCCGTAGAGTTTGCTGTGTACATTTACAACTAATCCAAGTCCACTTTCAGACGACAAGATGCCCGTGCACAGGGTGAGCACCGTATAATAAGAAAATAATCCTAATCCGTCTTTATCGTCCCTTGTATCATCGCTGTCACCTATTTCATTTATCTCTGAGGACACATAAGTATATAAGTAGAAATTACCATGACCGTGGAAGGTGAAGTGTGAACGGGTCTAATGTGTTGGAAACTGAACTTGCCTTCTCTTCCCAGTTTTTTTACTTTTTCTGTTACCACCATGTTCTTAAAATAGAACCACTGTTCACTTTTACTCCCCCATTATTTACAGCCCAGCAAGTAATGCCATTCCTATAGGTCCTATATTTGCCTCACTTCCCCTGGTGGCTATGATTGGGACATACAGCCGGTGTGCCGACCATCTGTGTTTTCAGTCCTTGAGATGTGTGTGGGTAAATCTGAGTTGAACCCGGAATATCTACCTTAAATTCCAATAGGCTAGCTCGGCCGGATTCAACCAATCAATCCTATTAATGCAATGAAGTTGAAACTTGCAAGAACTTTCTCTTGTTTACAGCGTTGGTGAAAAACACTTGACCAGCAGATGGAGCTAACCTACCACAGATAAGGCTCTGGGTTTGGCTCACTGCGTTGGCCTCTGGGAGACGATGTGGGAGAAAATAGTGGAGACTACTGGCTTAGACCAGTCAAAAGGAATCCCTACCCTGGGCCTTGGCTTTAGAGCAGCCGCTGGCAAACTTTTTCTATAAGAAGCTAGATGATAAATATTTTAGATTTTGTGAGCCATGTGTGGTTTCTCTTACATATTCTTTTTTAAAACAACCTTTCAAAATGTGAAAACCATTCTGAGTTTGTGAACAGTGAGAAAAACAGACCTCGGGTTGGATTTGGTCCAAGAGCCATAGTCTTCTGATTCCTGCTTTAAGGACTCCATATATTATACACACACACAAAAACAATAAAGGTAGTAAGAAAATATGGTGTCTTTGCCCCTTAGGATCCCATGTTCCATGTAGGCACAGCATGACCCATATCTCTCAACATCTCCCTATTAATACTGTGCAAGCCCCAGGGAAATTATTTTCCATAACTCTCGTCCAGTGTCCTTGAAACACAAGGTAACTGCTTCTGAATGCGGTAAAGTTTTGTGAGTTGTGTCACTGCAGAGCTGGAGTCAGACACTTCATGCAAACACAGGAAAGATCTGAGCCAGGAGTGCGTAGATAGGAGAAGAGACAAATTAACTCGTCCCATCATTCTTCTTGGATAGTATAAGGGCAACAGATTCTTGCACAAGCAAGTCCAGTCTTGGGGCGCCTGGGTGGCTCACTCAGTTGAATGTTCAACTCTTGATTTTGGCTCAGGTCATGATCCCAGGGTCAAAGGATTGAGCCCCACATTGGGCTCTGTGCTGAGCGTGGAGTCTGTTTAAGATTCTCTCTTTTACCCTGCCCCTGTTGCTCTCTCTCTCTCTCTCTAAAAATAAGATCCTCAATAGGTCTGAGTGAAAGGGAAATCTTGCCCCTGGCAGCTAGCCGAGCAGGGTGAGGAAACTCTACTTCTTCTTCTTTTTTTTTTAATGTTCTATTTATTTCTAGGAGAGAGAGAGAGAGAGAGAGAGACAGCGTGAGCAGGGGAGGGTCAGAGAGAGAGGAAGTCACAGACTGAACAGGCTCCAGGCTCTGAGCTGGCAGTCAGCACAGAGTCCAACGCGGGGCTCGAACCCACGAACCGTGAGATCATGACCTAAGCGAAAGTCAGACGCTTAACCAACTAAGCCGCCCAGGCACCCCATAGGAAACTCTACTTCTTGTTCTTTGCTTAATTTCAATTTGGATTTAACAAAGCCAAATACAGACTCCCTGGGAGACAGAAGAAACAAACACACAAACACCTACAAGCCACGTGTGTTCTGTGATGCATTCTGTTGGTCATAGAATAAAACCGGGCAAGAAGCACAGCCTTATTTGGAGAAGGTGATACCACACCCAGCATTCTGAGATTGGGCAACGTACATGGCCAAAATCCAGGGCCTCACCAACTGGACAAGGGAAATTCTTAGGAATGAAGAGCCTAAGTAACGTCATTTTGAAATTAAGGCCTCCGTTTAGAGGAACCTCGGGCTGCACGTAGCCCCAGTTCCGCAGATTGCTCAAGGCTAAAGACATCCTCAGACCGCCCTCAGATCAGCTAATCAAAAAACATTCCTGTGGTCTGAGTCAAGGCTGGGAACTGTAGACAGTTATTCTGTACAAACTAGCCAATTTCTCACCGCTTGCCTGAACCCCACATGGGCCCTTTGAACCCACCTCATAATTGGTCATTTTCAAAGGATTCTCAAAAGTCATGATTGGGTCCCACCAAAAGTAATGAACACCTCACAGATACTGAATGGTCAAAGCTGTTACCATGGGTGCTGCTGTACAATTATAATTGGTGCTTATGTGATGATGCTATACGTATAGCATGTACACTGTAACACCCCATAAAAACCCTACTCGCTGTTGTTCAGGGCTTCACCTTGCTGCCATGAACACCAGTAGGTGGGTGAGCCCCTGCTCGAGCTTGTAATAAAGACCCTTTTGTACCTGCATCGAGTCGGCTCCTTGGGGGTCACAGGGGAGTCACGAATCAGGCACAACAGGAATGTCTTGGTCTAGAGCAACCTAGAGTTGTTCTTTAAAGATTAAAGAGCCTTGTTAACTCTGGGTTCACTCTGAGATAAAAAGGAAGCAAGGAGACTGGATGAGATTATGGAAGTACACATTCTTTTTGGCCTGTGTGTCAGAGCAGAAGTGTGTGCAGAAAAGGCTGCTTTTGAAAGGGAAGAACAGTGGAAGGCTCTGGATGGAGCTCAACACATGACGACTCAGACTGATCTACTGCCCTTACTAGCACCGTGCTCGCTGAGGTTTCAAAAGTGTTGGTAGAGTCCAGGGGAGCCTGGGTGGCTTAGTCGGTTAAGCGTCCGACTTTCGCTTAGGTCATGATCTCGCGGTTCGTGGGTTCGAGCCCCGCGTCGGGCTCTGTGCTGACTGCCAGCTCAGAGCCTGGAGCCTGTTTCAGAGTCTGTGTCTCCCTCTCTCTCTGACCCTCCCCTGCTCACGCTGTCTCTCTCTCTCCTAGAAATAAAAATAAAAAAAAAAAAATTAAAAAAAAAGTGTTGGTAGAGTCCAGACTGAATGAGAACAGACCCTGTTCGAAGCCAGGTGCTCAGCTCTGCCTGGGGGCTTACGGTGAGACTGTGATCTGGGGCAGCCACCCAACCCCTCTTGCTCTGACAGACCATCACCAATGGGCCTGCACTGTCCGGAATTAGATCGCGAGTGAATGGCACCAAATAATTCTAAGATCAGAGGTTCCAATCATATTATGAGTGATGCCACAAAGACATCAACTAAGGAAGGACAGATCAACAAAATCTGCTGATTAAAGGAAATAGTTGTTGCCAGGTAAAGAAAAGGCAGGTATACACAAGGGTTTTAGGATTCATGAGCAAGTGACAGTCCTCTCTGCCCCCTACCTGCCAGCGGGACAGACACTATCTCACAAGATAACCTAACTCTAGCAACAAAGACTTGAATTTCACCATGTGAGTCTTTGAATTCGGTAAGCACTGATAGGGGCCTTGCTAAAGGTGCTGCTCACCTAACTGAGAAAGTCGGAGGCTGGAAGAATCTAACATTTCAACAGAAGGACTTTGGTGGGAGAAGTAAAGCAAGTCTAAGTCCAGCCAATGGAGCGACTTATGTGTGGCATGGCTGACTACGCACCCATAAAGGCCCAGGATTGCCCCCATATAATTTTACAGGGTCTTGGGCTGTGGCCAATGACTAGCAGTTCAGTCTGGCATGTGGGTTATAGAGGGCTCTCTAGTTAAATCTCAAATATTGGTGGCCCATGATGATGCCTCTGAGTCTTAAAAAGAGGAGGAAAGCATGACTTTGAATGTAGTCACTAGGGTCCACATGATGATACCTTGGGCCACAATCCATGTGCTCGTGGCCTCCCAAACAACACAATCCCTATCTCCATCTGAAGTCACCCAGGATGGTCCCAACTGCCAACAGCATTGGGCACATGTGCCTTTGGTGGGAGAATACGAGTGTATATGGCCCGTCTCTCGGAGCCAGCAGTCTGCCTGTGCTGGACATTTCACAGAGTATGGGGGGCGGGGGTAATATTTTCAAAAACTGATATTGACAGTGTTCCTGGTTTGACCTTTGCCTATTTTGCAACTGAAGCCCTGGCCCAGGCTACTATAAAAAGACTGGCAATCCAGGTTGCCCACCAGCATGAATGTCAACATATATATGAAACAGCTCAAGGACTTCCTGACCTCCATAACCACACGAGTGAATTCCTATAATAAATCTCTTAGGTGAATCTCTATGTGTCTCTTTTGTTCTGTTTCCTTGGTCATCCCTGACCGGCACACATATCTTATGACTTAGCAATCCCACCCCTAGGTGTATATTCAGTGGAGATACGTATACATGTTCACCTAATAACAAGGACACAAACATTTATAGCAATACTATCTATAACTGGAATACTATCTATAACTATCAATAACTGGAAACTATCCTTAAACACAGTTTGGGTAACAGCAGGATAGATAAATAAATTGCTGGATAAATAAATAAAGAGTGGAATCTACCCCAACATATAACAATATACATAAAACAATATGGAAGACTCTTGTAAAAATAATGTTCAGGGGGCACCTGGGTGACTTGGTTGGTTAAACGTATGACTTTGGCTCAGGTTGTGATCTCACAGTACACAGGATTGAGTCCCAAGTCATGCTCTGTGCTGACAGCTCTGATCCTGATGCCTGCTTTGGATTCTGTGTCTCCCTCTCTCTCTGCCCCTCCCCTGCTTGTGCTCTGTCTCTGTTTCTCTCAAAAACAAACATTAAAAAAAATTTTTTAATGAAGAAATAATGCTGAAGGAAGAAGACAGACACAAACTAATATGTACTGTGTAGTTCTATAGATAACGTTCAAAGCCAGGTGAAACTAATCTATGGTATTAGAAATCAGGGCAGTGATTATCCCAGAAGGAGGAGCCATGGGGTCTCTGGGGTGTTGGTGATGTTCTGTTTCTTGATCCAGGTGCTGGTTACAGGAGCGAGTTCAGCTTTTGGAAATCTATTGTGTTATTTTCTATATGTGTTAAACTTAAGTTAAAAGTTCATTTACAAAGGTACAGGTTCTGACTTTGGAAGGAGGGGAGAAAAAATTGAACTAGAGCAATATTATCAAACACACAGTAGTTGTATACATCGCCCCCTCCACATCCCTTACCCCCTTACCTCTCGGATTCTCTTCTGCCATTCCTCTATGAATTCAGGAGAGTCGGTGTTCACCAGGGTGGCATTGAATGTCCACTCTGGACACTTCCAAGCAGGGAGGGAGAGCATGGCCAGAGAGGGTGCCACAAAACCAAATGTCCCTCCCTGGAGAATGGGCAGCCTGGAGGAGTGGGAAAGGGTGCAGTTACTCATAAGATCCATTAGCACCAGTCTGAAACTGGGCCCAATGATTTTTTTTTTTTTTTTTTAATCCCAAGTCCTAGTTCGACTTAGACATGACACATGACCTAGCGGGTAATATCCACATCAGACCCAGGAGCCCTGCCAAACTTTGGACAGATAGGAGGGGTGGGGAGGGGGAAGACAAGCAGACCTAACCCATCTTGCAGATGCAAACCCAGGAGAAGGAGAGTCAGGCACTGGGAAATGATTTGAAGACAGCACAGAGCTCAGCAGCCATGTACAGTGGGTGCCATTGTCTACCCCGGTCCCAGAGGATCTTCCCCGGAGCTCAGGATAAAAGCACAGCTCACATGTGAAGTTCTCCCTCCAAGAGGCACACAGCCTGAAATCTGGGTTGCCAGACCCCTTGTGTCTTCAAAAATGATCGGCAATCCCAGACCTTTACCTTCAAGCCTTCTCATCATATGGACAGAACAGTTTTCAGGGTGAGTGTTTCCATCCAGGCCCTTCTCACTCCTGCCCGGCCCCTCGCTCTGTCCTCTGTGAGAGCTCCTAGAGGTGCCCACCTAACTTTCTTCCCTTTGAGGTAAACACAGCCTGATAAGTCAACCTCCAACAACCCTCTCTTATCAGATCAGAGGTCACCAAGGCTAACCTAGTCTGCCCACCCATGACACTAAAATTTGGGGAAGGGTGCATTTGTCACTGTGATATACCCAGTTCAGATACTTTTTCTTAACGATGCTAGAAGGGTATCTTTGAACTCAGGACTTCATAAAGACATCTTAAAGGATTATTCTTGAGAATGACTGAGCACATTCTATGTAATGAAAATATAAAGTTTATGAGAGTTTTGCTGCCCAAGTGGCCTTTGTATTCTGGCTGAACATTAGAACAAGTGATGCCAGGACATCACACTCAGCGGGTGGGCATCGCTTTAGTGGCCTTGTCCAGGAGTGTGCTCCAGGTGATTCTCATGTGCAGCCAGGGTTGAGGACAACTGATCTAGATTCATAAATCTAGACCCATCAGGCTCCAAAGTAGAATGGAATACATTGCCCACACAAGGCAGAAATCCACAAGAGGTGGTATGGGTGTGTGCGAACAATTTTTTTTTTTAAACTGTGAGTCTAAATATCTTGACACAGAACAGAAGCATGCTCTATTTATCTTTACAAAAAAGGTTTTAAAATGAACATATAAGGGTGGCTCAGTTGGTTAAGCATCCAACTTCGGCTTGTAATGTCAAGGTTCATGGGTTCGGGCCCAGCATCAGGCTCTGTGCTGACTGCCAGAGCCTGGAGCCTGCTTCAGATTCTGTGTGTGTGTGTGTGTGTGTTTGTGTGTGTGTGTGTGTGTGTGTCTTCCCCTCCCCGACTGATGCTCTATCTCTCTCTCTCTCAAAAATGCAAACAGTCCACCATGTCAGCCATTTCCAATGTATTGGGTCCCATGAGGATAGGGATTCATTATTTTTCATTGCCATCCCTCCAGCACCGCGCCTGGCACCATAAAAAAACTTACGAATACTGGGTTTATCGTTCTGTTTTTTTAAGTTTAATAGGCATGTAAAGAAGTCCTAACAAATGTTAATTTGCATTTCATTAAGCTATGAACGATGTGCACTCATTCATGTGATTTAATGTCTGTTTTCTCCCTGTCTATAAACTGTCTGCTTATTACATAGAATCCGGATACTGTCAAAATATATAACAATTCTTATGATTATGAGCTGTGAGCTTTCTTTTAAAAAGAAAATGCTTTCTGTTACTGTATGCAGGAAGTTATTCCCAATTCAGAAATTATTTAAAAGAGTATTTCAAAATTTTCAAGTAGCTGAGCACCTTTCTAATTCTGTTCGTGTCCATTTCTTTCAAGATGATTACATGTAGTTGGATAATATGATATATGGACTTTCTGCCTTTTTGTATTTGCTAAATATCTTTTACGTTCAAGAACAAGATGAATCTTGGGTGGATGCAGGGCTTGAACTCATGAACCATGAGATCATGCCCTGAGATGAAATCAAGAGGCGGTAGCTTAACCTACTGAGCCATCCAGGCACCCCTGTTAGGTATAGCTTCTTACAAGTACCCTTTTGGTAAGTAGATGTGAGTGATAGAAAGAGGGAAAGAAAGAATGAAAGATATATTGATCTACATACAGTCCTTTCACTTCTGCTAGTTCTTCTTTTATGCACATCCTGGTACATGTGTAGGGTGCATGCACTCAGTACTATCCTAGGCTTTCATTGTTCTATGCATGTTTTACCTATGCATGTGGTGACCTTGATGCATATCTCAGTGCGCTTTTTAATTTCACAGTTAATGATCAACTACCATGATGGTGACCCCTATATTTTTAAATCTGCCAATGAGTATGATTCAGTATTATTCTACATGTCCCTCTGACTTAAGTCTCTCTTATAAACCATAGACTGTTGATTTGAAACCAACCCAACATTTTAGATCTAGAAGAGTCCCTTGAAATATATCCAGCTTGACCTCATCATTATTGCAGATAAGGCATCTGGGCCCAAGGTCATGGAGTTAACCTGGGTGAGTGCTCGGGTCTCCTCCCTCATCATCTAGGTTTCTCGCTGCTTCATGACACTGATTCAGAGCATGGCATACGCCAATGGCAAGTTTCAATCTGGTTCTACTTCTCATCAGTTGTGTGACCTAGGTATGCTGCCCAACTTCCGCAAGCCTCAGTATTCTCTTTAATAAAATAATATACTTCCCGCAGGGAGTAGCTATGAAGATTAAATATGTATAATTGGTTAGCCCCATGCGTGGGGCATATAAGAACTCACCAAATAGCAGTAATTGCCATTACTTTGCTATTCCCTCTGAAATGTGTGGTATTTCCTGAGAAGGTGGTGTACATTAAGACATTTTCTCTAAATAACAGACGTCCCAGTGTGGGCTTTTTTTGTTGTTTTTTTTTAACTGTTTGGCATTCCCATCTCTTGCAGGTTGGTTTTCTAAGACTTGTTTTCTGCATCCCTTGTTTTCTTTTGTGTTGTTGGAATCCATGTGTGTGGGCTGGTCCAAGGCTGTGTCTTTGCATTAATTACTCCCTTGCTGTCTCTGGCGAGCGCTCAGCCCTGCTGGTAATAAGGCATCACCTGCTCGGAGCTCCACAGCTTTTGCTTCACTCCCCCTCATTATTTCTTCTGTTCTGATTCTTAAAGTGGACAGTGTCTGTCTAGTGTAGAGTAAATATCTGAGGCACAGCTCTTTTCATGTGATGGCCCAACATATATCAGTTGGGATGGAGTTGCTTTTATGGAGTTGCTTTTATCGGATCCACTAATCATCTGGAAGCCTGCTGCTCTAGTTATTATTGTTAGCTCTATTTCAGATGCTGTCCTCTCCGGTTCTTCTTGTTTCTGTTAGATTTGATTAGAAGGAGGTGCTCTGACAATGCTCCATAAGTTCCTACATGCTATGTATCCGCTCTAGCACTGACACTTCAGCTGGTTCCAAAGAGCATTTAAGGGGGCTTATGTATTATTATGCTACAGTAATAAAGGACATACCTCGCTCTACTCAGACCACCCAACTTTACTTTCCAGCCGTTCCTCTCCTCCTCCCAGCCCCACTAGCCCACACCCAGCCTCATGAACCTTTACAGAAAGAGCCAGTCTGGACTCAGATGGAGTGGGATCTGGGTGCAAATCTCCACTGCTGCCCTCACAACATCCCATAGAAAGTGTGGGCTGACTCTTTCTGTGTCTCCAAGTCCTTTCATCCTTCACGGTGTCCCCTGTGTGCTCAAGTCTGAAGAAGGGAAGACGCCCTGCGATTTTCTTTGCAACAATGACTTGCATGTTTTCTAAGAAGAAGTTAAATGTCAAAATCTGTAGTCACAGAAATGTATCTGAAGAGTCATAGGATGGGTATTTTGGGTTGGCAGAGGTAAAGGATTGTGTCCCCAGGGCTACTCCTAACATCTAAGTTTACCCAGAATTTTAAAGGAACACAGCATTTTCATATAGTCATCTCAACAGCCCTCCAGGGCAGTCAGCCGACACCGCTTTGCCTGTGCAGGGGGAGACTGCCTCTGGTGGGAAATGCCAGTGGGAGGGCTCAGCTCGGAAGTGGGGAAGCCCTTATCAGAAAGTCTGACTCACCAGGCTGAATTGCAATAGCGTGTTTTTTGTTATAAAAACAACTGATAACAAGACATGAGGTAAGAACAAACTAGAGTTTATGTTAATGATTAGATAAACCATTTTTCTCCATCTTTATAATCCGATTTTAACCCACAAAACAGAAACCCTTTTGGAAGTATTGAGAGTTAAGGCTCCCACCCTTCCCTCTGAGCTCTCAGGTACTTCTATTAAGGAAAAGTTATTCATGACACCAGTTAATGACATGAAGTTGACCTTATTCAAGGGCGGGTACTATAGTGGGGTTTTGTAGTAGGGGAGAGTGATCAGGCTCAACTCTCAATATAACAAGAAAAGGGGGGAATTTATAGCCCAGGAGGGGGTGGGTCAGGGGCTGGAAAGTTACTAAGGGGAAATATAAGAGGAAATATAAGGCAGAGGGGATCCTGCTGAAGGCAGGTCAGGGTGATCAGATATCACCTGAGTGATGGTAGAGAATGAGGAACCCAATCAGACATGGAGGGCAGGGATTCTGACTACACTGAATTAGCAAGATTCTTGCCAAAACTGGAAAATGAGGAGACCAATATGAAAGCTCAAAATTCAAACCTAGTTGAATAGTTGTCTGTTGGGCTTGGCAACAGAATGGCCATAGTTGATCTTGTCCAATAAACACTATGACTACATAGACCTCTTCCGGGTTAGTGATGAGTAGACAGAAAACCCAGCATGACTTGAGCCTGAAAAAGACCCTGCATGTTTTCCTGCTCTGAAAACTTAGAGGAAAAAAATTTCCATTAAGAAACAAGCTAAGGGGCACCTGGGTGGCTCAGTCAGTTAAGCGTCCAACTTCAGCTCAG